TAAAAGTAGCACAAAAGCCCATGCAAATGTGTGTGTATGTTTACTTGTACACCGACGCAAAGGCACCCGAATTCCAAAGCGACGCTTTTACACCACTTAGCAAGTTCGCATATAAATAAGAGTAACGGGAATGTATGAGCACTTGACATGCAAACGGATATTTTGTAACAATTCCATTACTTTCGGCCACAGGCAAAACCACGCACGCACACATGCACATAACTCACGTATTTCTCTAAAGCCTTTTGCTTACTCGTACGAGTATAATTGGCAAAATGTAACGAGTTAAAACAAACGTTGTGGTTAACAGACGAGCGACACGAGCCTACACAAAACAACAAATACGATGTGAAACCTTGTCAAGGACAAACGGCATTTATCATCGTTGTAATTTTTGTTGTGTCCGCTTGCATTCGTCGTTGAGTGTGCTGATCAGCTGTCTATTTGCGACAGTTTGTGGTTGTTGCTATTGTCGTAAAAAGTCAACATGAAATTGCAATTTTGAGAGACCGTGAGAGTTTGAGAGAAATAGCGTGTCCTAGAACGATTATAACGGAGAATACAAGTTACGATAGTGGTTTTACAGCGTTTGCGCAATAAGCCACGGTTCTTGTAAATGAAATATGTGAATGAAATTTTACAGTTACAGTAGCTGATAGCTGTAGTGATTTAGAATGGTTGTTCAAATATGTTGATAAACGCGTATTGGCTAATAAATGGCAAACAAGCACAGGGTTGCCAATATTACATTTTTGGCGATTTAAATATTCAAAATACAATCGCATTATAGATAAGTAATAAATACATAATATAAACTAAAATTGTAAAATTATTCTTTAAAGCCGCCTCTGCAATATTTGATTTTGCATATTTGTCATGATGGATGTCATGATCCGTTCACAGCATACCGGTTTTCCTTTGAAAATCGAACACGTTTGTTTTTTGATACACGCACATAAATTTGAAATTGTTGGACGAATAGTCGTCCAACTTTGACAGTATTCCAGTTAAGGTTTGCACGCTAAGACAAATCAAGAGACTTTTTGTTTATGCTGCGATCTTCCGATCATTACATTAAAGTAGAGGGAATAAATACTGTGTCGTCGTCATTACGACATTAAGCTGTGTGGCCATCCGAACCATAAAATAATAATGCATTCTTGATTAGTACAAATGTCATTATCATACACTGACAAAAAAAAATCATAAAATGGCAGCTATTCAATAATCAAAGTCGATTCTTTCACTAATCTTTTAACTCGAATTCTCGAATTTTTGTTAAGTTTATAAAGTAGGGAAGAAGGAAGAATATTCATGGCAAATATCAAGTAAATCGACTGATTATAACGTGAGATATCGTAACGATCGCATTGAAAAAAGTTTAAAATTTTAAGTTAGGCTCAAACCGACAGAGTTGAAATGACACTAAAATGGCGATAACTTTGTAAGTAATGAAAAATCATTGTGAATGTCTATACTGTCTAAATATCTAGAATACCCTTGTAAATAAATTATCGCTTAATAAAACTATATATGTTAAAGGGACTTTCAGCCAGAAAGTGTCTAAGATATACTTCGAACTCTTTTGATAATCAAACGTATGTGTATTGGTGTGAAAAATATTGATTGATGCAATGTCCCTAAGTGAAAATGAAAAAATACACAAAAATAAGCAATTGGATAGGCAATTATTTATGAAGTAGTCCGGTAAGGCCTCAAATATCCGATATAACTATGTGATTTTATCAAAATGTCTTATGTTGTTTAATATATACATACAAACATATATGTACAAGTCTATTTTATGAAAGTATGTACTAATCAATCTGCAGAATGTATGTATATATTATACCAATCGAGGTTATGAAGGCCAATTAGTGAGAAATTGCAGCAGGAACCGAAAACAACTGCGCCTAATGAGGAGAACCGCAGCGAAGAAGTTAATAGAAATTTCGAAAAGTCTTTGAGAAGATATACACGGACATATATGTATGTAACTCACAAGAACAAAAAAATATATATATAAATATGTAGAGATATGATAGTCTGACGGCAGCAGCAAAATATGCCCAACAGTAATGCGAAGCACCACAAAGGAGAGACTGAAGCATACATTGCACAGGCGGAAAAAGCATTTCAACACAAAAGCGACCACCACAACACAACAACAACAACGCACCACAAAAAGTTAACAAAACGAAAAATTCGATTAGCAGGAACAGAAAAGTACAACAAACCGAATAAGAGAGGAGCAATGAATTCTAGGGAATCGGCTGATAGCAAGAAATACGACTGCTTTCATATATGTATTGTATATAGATGTGTGTAGTGGTAGCAAATAGGGAGCGTAAGCGCCTTAAGCGTATGGTGTTAACGGCGGTTGGACGACAGGTTGGCTGCCAACGGTAAGGCAGGAATGCCAAGGTTATTAAGATTTACAGTTACTGGGAAAAAATGCATGCTTGGTTTATACAAACTGACTTACTTGCAAATTTATATACAAGCCTATATACATACATACTTATATATTCATACATAAATACATACAAGTACATGCGTCCTTATTAAAATGCATGAAACAAAAGTTGAGTTTGTAAATGTGTAACGGTTTGAGAAACTTCGCAAACTTAATTCCAGCATGTTGGTGAATATAATTGATATACATTTTTCTCGCTTTTAAGCACGTGCGATTAATTCTTACCCGCTTTTAATTGCTTTATTTCTTGGCGAGTTTTTTTCTGTGTTTTGCAAAGTTCCTAATTATGATAAATGAAAGAAAGCTAAATTCTCCATAAGAAAGCTTCAGTTCGTTGGGGAGGCCTAAGGCTACTGGTAGCTTGAGCAAAAAATTAATTACCAGCGCGTCTTAAATAATTTGGTTTCAAAGTTGCGACTTAAATTTACCATATAGAAATGAATTTTTCGTGGAAATTTAGAATGTTTAGAATACAGGACAACCAAGTCAATACTATTGAAACAGACCCGAACTTTTATTCGTACAAAAGCTGCCAACTTGGCTGCAGTCTTCAAATTTATTTGGTAAAGGTTTTCTGCCACTACAAAAGCAACAGCTAACAATACTTCTAAGAACTATATATATTACGGTGGTGAGAACTCATAACCCGTGGACCCATTTTAAAGCCACGTATAATGGAAAATATGGTTTAGTAACTGAAGTTCAAGATCTAAGGGCACTTTTCTCAATTGTCTGCGTAACCGCTTAACCAGAACTATATCGGCAACATCTTGAAAAATGGTTTTCTCAATATCGGGTTAGCAACCATCTGCCAGTTAAGTACTGTTAAAAGTTCCCGAAAGAAGGAGTATTGGTTTGTTTCTAACTATAACATGAAATGACAGCTGTCAGCTTTAAAATCTATAAGCATATACGAAGTTCAGACGGGGATTATTTTGTCGCTCATTACCATTATTTATTATGCATATTTGCATTCATATATGCATATTACATATAAAAAAAGGGGTAATAACATTTATATATCCGAAAATAAGGTAAATATTGCTTTAGAACCGAGCGCTGTTGCAACCATGAAAGGAATTTCAAAATGAAAAGGAATGCAGAATTGCGTAGCAGCGAGCTGTTACGGAACATAACACAAAGCGTGCCACCCGAGCACGAGTGAAGCGGTCTCTACGTCGTCGCCTCGTCTACGAAAACAGGTTTGGTTGGTAAAAAGATGCTCATACATACATCATGACATTTACATAGTTTTGCGTCTTCTCAATGCAAGTATTGTGAAATGTTTTCGCCACGCATTCACAATAATCGAACTATCTGTAGGTCAGCTAACCACCACATGATGAAAACGGTTCTGTCAGTTAAAGCTATCAACCAGTTAAGCTACAAGCCGTTAAGCATAATATTAATCACACATTGAGAAAACGATCCTAAATGATTTATAGATATTTGCACTTTTTCAACTTGCCAAGCGGATACATCTCTCAAACAGTCTCAGACAGCAAAAACATGATTAATCTAAATATCCTGTCACCAACATTTCATTACTTCACATTAAAAAAGGAATAACAAGAATCAGAAACAACAAAAAACCAAAATCAATGCATTAACGGCGGCGATTAGTTCCTGGAGAGCTATCTCTAGTTCTAATACAAAGTTATGTTTAATGAAAGTGAAATATATATGTCAAATTGAACTTTATCGAACAGATTCGATCCACAAATAGAAATGTCCTAACTACCGTTGAAACTGGTAGTTCTTAGGTTTCATTTAGCATAGTCTGTGAACGACTAAGGTCCACGATAGACGAACCACTGCACTTAAAAACGCCAAAAATAAAAGAAACGACACACTACAGTTCCAACGTCGATCGGAGTTGCTTAACTGAAACAGATCTGGATATTTATGCGACTAAGAACTGTCAAGTCGGCAGCACTTCTCCAAATTACTTTTCTATGATATATGATATTCTGTTTAATATGATATGGAACAAAACAACCATAGCAATCAGTATAAGGATGGATTTTTCCGATTTAGGCACTAGAAAAGTTAACTTTGCGTCTCGAACTTGTGAAACGTTAAAATATTGGGGAGCTTTTGATTGTCTTTAAAGTTCGACACATCGCTCAATGAAAATTTAGATGATTGGTGAAATTGCGCTGAAAGAACTACTCGATTCGTCACAAATAGAAGGACAACGAAAACCGAAACGGAAGGAATCCGTTTCTACTGAGCTTCTTATAATATTTCTGGTGTGTGCTTTGAGGTCAGCCGACTAGTGGTGACCATTATACTATGAGAAGAGTTTAACGGAATCAACTCCTTGAGGAATCTCCGTTCCCAAGGCAGTTGTGTCTACGTATGGATCCAGATTGCATTTCGTTTTCCATTTTAATAAAAAGTTTAGAAAAAGGTTTTTAAATTCCTTGACGTTATATTTGAAAAAGCAAACTTCTGCTCTAAATTTAAATACATACATATATATAAACAAATGCTTAAAGTATTCGAGTTTTTTAACACTTACATTGTTTAAAGAGGAAGTGTTGTTTTTATAATTGTTTAGTCACGAAAATATAAATTTTTGTTGTAAAACAGCAATTGTTAATTGTTTTGCAATTTTTGCAGTTTACAATTTCTGTGCACAATTTGCACTACTAACACATTTAGCAGCAATTTTGGTGGCAACATTTAATTGTTAACAATTTTTTATTTAATTTTTTTTCGATATTTAATATAATGACGCAAAAGAAATATTTTTTCACAATCATTGACACATATTTTTGTTTATTATCTTTTTTTTATTATTATTTACTTTTGCACAAAAGCTTTGCACATTACAATTTCAAACGGTAATGACACCACAAAAAAAAATTTACACGATTTAGATTACTGCATTTTTTAACGTTTTCGCCATATACCATTCTATGTGTATGTACGCAAGTGCACATGTACAACTGTTTAAAAATTTCAGTAAGAATTCTTTTAGTAGTTTTAATGTGGACTCGCAATATTCTTTTGAGTGTTTGTGCTGTTATTTATATGTGTTTACGTTTTTGTTTTAAATCTCTACGCAAAAATTGCAATAACTACAATAACAGTAGCACGTTTCAAACATTAATTCATATTTTATCATAAACACTCGCAAGTTCATGCGAAATATTTGCACACACACATGGAAAAAATGTAGTGGCTAAGTAAAATATTTTTATGGAAAATTGACAACACGAACACGTCGACGTCAGCGATAAGAACGACAGCGACGACTGCTGAACAGCAAGCGACAGAAGTTCAAACGTTACTGCGTCACTTAACGTCGCACGAAAATCGAAAATGTCGAAAATGATGGAAAACGGTTGAACAGCTGAAAAATTTATGTAATCACTGTATACAAACGAAACAGCGAATTTGTGGCATTATTTGCTGATTTTCAGAAGAAATCGAAAAATAATTTCACTCAAAAAATGCGAAGCACAATTTTTGAAATTTCATTTAAAAAATCATGCAAAGCTCGCGCTTAAAATATATACATATATATATATATATGCGTGTGTAGACATTAAAATGTGACTTTTCCAAAATCACTCCTGCACACTGTTTTTCCGTTTTGAAATGAATTTTCACAATTGTATCTCCTTTTTTTTAAATCCGTTTAAAAATTGCAATTTTTTATGCTTTTTCAACAATAAACATTTATTTTTCTTTATTACATTATTTATATGTATGTGTAGCTCGTCTACTGCGCCGAATTTACTTTGTACTGACGTCCGCAAGCGTCTCGAACTAACTGCTGATAACTGTGCACGTAGAGTAGGGTACACCGAGTGTGCATCTAAAAAATGTTACAGTTATTGTACTACTCGCTGTTTTCGAACATAGATGCATACATACAGACCAACAGGCAGACAGCCAGACGTACATTTACGGCAACTAACCCGCTTGTATTATATATATGTATATTTGTATGCAGTTTGCTGTGGTATGTGTGCTTTCACCATAATACTCGCCTACTTTTAGGCGTACGACCGCTCTCTGAGTATATAGGCTAGTCGCTGCTCAGTGTACGCACGCAGAGTGAGCTAAATTTTCGTTGATAAATTTCAATGCAATGTGAATGTATGTGTTTCCTATATATAAATATATACTGGTTAATATATAGACATATGTAGAATTCTAAATATATTTGAGGTTTTACCAATTGTTTTATAAATAAATGGTTGTGAATTTTTAGGCATTATAAATAAGAATCTAAGCCATAACAGCTAAGAAGCAATGGACTGATAACAAAATAATAAAAATAATATTAACAAAATAATAAAAATAATATTAGCGGACGTTCAAATAATGCTCGCTAAAATTACAAAATGTATATTATGCAAGAAATAAGCGTCTAAAACTGTATTATTGCATTGTATAAAAAATAAATTATATATATATATATATTAATCATAAGGAAATAAAGGCCTTCAACAAATGAAAATTAATAATTTAATTGAAAACTGAGAAATTACCGGAACAGGGAAATTTTATTTCAGTTGAGCGTTCGTTTGCCACTCGCTTAGAAAGAAACTGCATGCTTTAGTTTAATTTCTAACAATTTGGACCCCCTTCTCAGAGCTTAGCAATTATTTCAACTGTGGACACTAACGGTACTGGCTATAAGAACATTCCAATATCATTAGATTGCATCATATCTAATGAATTACCAGGGAGAGACACTCTATAATTGATTTATACCTTAAACAAAGAGACGAAAAGTGATTCAACTCATCTAATGGCGAGATAGAGCAGACATTTTTGTCAAACTTCGAGACCCTATGTTACATTTATGCACTATAGAAAAATATATGTATACAAAAAGAAAAGGTAAATGTGGTCTACATTTAGGCGCATTCACTAATACTTCAGCAAAGCCAAATAATTATTATTTCTTTATATTATTTAATAATTTTTTGTGGGTTTGCTTACATAACCTCTATTTTCACGGTTTTTAGTTCCAGTATGAAATTATCCAATATTTATAGCGTAAAAATCTATCTTACAAATTTATGACTCTGATACATAGCTTAACATTTTTGAAATATGTTGAAGCAAGCCACTCAGTGCCAGTTTTAACTGACAATTAAACAAGTGAGAGACAGCTCGTGTCTAGACACTTTCACTCTCACTACGCATCGTTACAACAAATATATTGTGTAAACAAATTATGTTATTAGTTGTTGCTATCGAGCAAAAGTAATTCCATACATCAAGGCGCACAAAAAGCATATGTAGTAAAAAGTAAAAGAGGTGCTTGCGCTCTGAGAACGCGATGAAAAAAATGGGAGCCGCAACTTTAATGTTCATATAGCGGCAGGTCAGAGAGAAATTATTTAACGACGCAGTTGTGACTATCAACAAAGATATTATATGAATCCCCTAAAAATATGCAACATATGTGTATATATATTATATATGCCAATTTTTAATATAAACTATATTAATCAAAGTTTATAATTCGTTAAGGTAAATATTATTTGCATTTGGACAAAAATATCAGTCAATATTTATTTGGATGTAATTTATTTTTGTTACAAAAATGGTATGGCAACCCTATCGCAACCACATGGGTTTCCACGTATGCGTGCACGCTATGGTAACCGGCAGCAACGTCAAGGATTGACAGAAAGATATACCAATAATTCAAATGGCTGCGTGAGTGACTGCCACCCGAATGCCACTGCCCATGTTGTTGTTGTAGTCCTAATCATCGTTGGTAACACATGTTACCGCTATGTCCATACTACGGTCGTATTAAGTCTTCAATGTCAACAACTTTTGTAGCGACTGTGCTCACCCAGCGTCCCCAGAGAGCCTTGAGAGCGTGTATGCCCGTTGTGAGTACTTCAGAGCAACAAAGCATAATAAACATACAGCACTAAAATAATGGAATAAATCAAAAATGTAAAAGTAGAGGTGCCCTTAGATATATACTCGTACATATACGGAGGCACCTACATAAATTGGTAGATTGTCAATGTGATTCTTGGGAGAAATACACGACTGATATAAATTGCTCACTTATACATCCGAAGCTAATACATTGTATGTGCATACCATATTTGTACATAGGTATGTATGTGTATTGATAACGGTACCATCCGACTTTGATAAACGTTTTCATGAGAAGAAACTGTTAATAAATAGCTATTATAGGGGATCGAAAGAACAGTGGGTGTAAATGAGCGATTTGCCTTGTTATGTTTAACAATTATCTCGTCAATCTCTCTCTGTGGTTGTTGCAGCAGCAGGAAACATCCATAAATTAATGTGGAGAAATGCTGCCGAGTTAACAATTGTTATCCGTATAAATCCGGGTCTGTTCCAAATATGTGCATAGACCCGACTTTCGTGAGAACGGAAAGTTTTCTATCTAATCGTGTCTGCGTAATCACTTCGATAAAGTCTCAATCACAATTACAATAATATTCCTCCTAATAAAAAAACGACGTTACGTTGAACCTTCCAAATGGCTTACTTCGGAGAGTTTCTTAAGCTAAGTACTCTCTGAAATAACATTGTTTCAACCATTTTCTGTTGGAGACCCAAGCAAATCTTTCGTCTGTCTTCCTCCGCATACCAAAAATAAGTCCAAGAAAGGGAGGAGAGAGTCACACAATGGCTGCAACCTAATTTCACGAGATTACTTCGCTACTGCTACTTGGAGATCGCACCAAAGTGGCACCAGTGATATTGCATGACAATGAATAAAAAACATGGAGATTCCTCTATTTCCTTGAATTGAGTTAAAAGCGCCTTTTGTGGTGCATTGTAAACCCAAAATCAATAAAATAATGTTCAGTGGGTTGGGTTAGGGACGAAGGCTTAGATCGATTTCGGTGTTACTTCGACCTCAGGGAGCGACCCAAATTGACCAACCCTTTATATGTACTGTAAACACACATGAAATCTTTGCTCAGACATCCCTCGTGTATACATTGTAGTTTTGCTGTCATCGCACAACAATTAATAATTAATAACATAAAATTGGGCATTTCTCTTTTGCACACACCCTTCAAAAGCCTTTAATGACAGCATTGACTCTTGCTCATTGGTTTTGATTGTATTACACTTCGATTGGATAAATACTTTGATTTCTCAACAGAGATTGGCATACACGCGTGATAACGGTACAGATATGTATATACGAAACACAATAATTCTGGTTTGACCGTTCTGTTTCTACGTTCTTGAATTAGTATAAAATTTAGAAGTAATAAATACTTGGACCACTTTCACGTACTCACACTTCAACTCTTTCTAGTATTATTTTAAATACGATCATAACAGAAATTCTAAAATTCGAAATTTTGAGAAATGTTTTTCGAGTTGACAGTCCTTGGATAAATACAAATCCGCAACCGTTCGGGTTACATAAATAATATATATGTATATATGTATATTCAGTGGTACTACCGAGTTTAGTGTTGTTGTTTTGTTCTATTTGGTATGATAATTTTTTATGCTCGTCCAATTTGGAGGTCAACAGCTATATCAAGTGTATCGAAGAGGTCATACTATAAATTATAGCAATCTACCAAGGCAAGTGGGCTGTCGAGGTTTATTCAAGATAAATTTAATCGACAACATCGGTATTGGATACCTTGTGATCTAACCAGAGTAACTTGTAGCAGTTAATTATTAAGGAGGTGGAACTGTGCTTATTCTAGAAGTGTGCGACTGATGTGTTCTTGTTTTATACTGACAGTATTGGAAGAATCGACGTACATACCTACAAAATTGACAGCGTCGGTGATGTTAACTGCAACTTAGAGAGACAAGTGTCAGTACTACATACACCGGCACAAGAAATGCCTTATGGTTGCCTGACAAAGATTGTAGCGGAATCTTGATTAGGTAGTGGAGAAAGCGGTCAGGTTGTCTGATTGAAACCATTGGAGTTATCGGTGTCCTCTCTTTGGTCACTGACGGTAGGTAAAGAGAGATCAAGGTTACATCGCTGATACAAATCTTAAAATTTTGTATTTTTCGACAAGTGTAACCGGCTGTTGTCGTGATTGTAACTGCAACATACCCGCGGGAGCATCCTAGAGGACTAGATGGACAACCAACCCGACAACAGAATGTCTCATGATTCATCTCGATTACTATCTACAGAATGAAATCTACCTTATCCCAATTAAAAGCACAACGAAATATCTCTGGAATCAATGGAATGGAAATCAACAATACAAACAACTGTCAGATGCAAATCTACCTCATATTCAAATAAAAAGTCTATTCCTGAGTTTCCTAAATTTTTTTAATTCACCCTCGCCTCTAAAGATTCATTCCCTTTCTCTCTTTGGCTAAAGTCACAAGCACCAAAATGTAATTAGCAAAAGAAGAGTCACAGCTGAGACTTTCTACTTCTATCAACTGTCTTTTTGGACTGGGATCATAGAGGAATAGGTTTTAGATGAACATGTTTGATGGGACAGAGAGTAGAGTTTGCCCAGCTTGGCATCTAAAGAAAGTTAACTGTTTCTCTATGAATGATGTTGTTGTCGTTGGCCGGATAAAAATCTGGGTACGTTCCGGTTACGTAGATGTTAGGTGCTGCTTTATAGGACATTGCGAAAGATGCGTTTTGGGCAGAAGGTCTATATAGCTTCCTCATGTTCCTGGAAATGTGATATTTGCGACCAACTTCCGACAGATATTAGAAAGATTGAGCAGAAGTTATTCACTGCGGCTGCTCCTTCCTTAGCTAGATGGTCATCAATCCGTTATTTTTTTGTAATAAGTAATTTGAAGAAATCTTGGCACGTTAACAGTGCTTGGCCGAAAAAAATCCGTGTCCATTCCGTTTACGTACACTCGAATATCGTAGAAACGAATCTCGGTTCCCTCATTTACCCGCTCATCGATGGTTCTTTCTCCATTTTCCGAGCGGTTATTACCTTATTGTTGCTAGCTAACAGATGTTACTGCGACAGCAGTTCGCTAAAAAATGTCACTATAGAAATTATATAACCTCACATGTTGTTGTTGTTGTCGAGTGCAGAGTATGAAATGTAATTGTAACAACTTTCATTTTTATTATTTATTTTCATCGCTGGAATAAATCCACCTTTTGAATAGGACAGCTGAATACATACATACAAATAAACAGTATGAAAGACTAATGATTCATGTTATTGTTGAGGGGCAAAACTCGTTGAACAAAAAATTTCAGAACCTGCTGCTAAGTTGATGAACCTTTGCCGAATATACATATATAAAGTCGGATCCTTTTACATACATCCTCCGTAAGCTTCTTGCTTTTTGTTATCCTACAAAATCGAATTTCAACCGTCAGTTGATGCAACTCCATAAATATATTTTTAATTGCCTTGTTAATTTTGTCTTTTCACACAATTTGCATTTATTTGATATCCATAAAAACATGCAAGATTACTGCAGCTGAATGTTGAAAGTATGATGTGTTGTCATGTATGCGAGAAACAAAAATTCTATTTGAACTAATAATTAAATGAAAAACTAACTATGGTAAAATTATATCATAAAATAAAGCGGCAAAATTCGTATAAAGCGTATGCACATCACATTAGCTTTGCCGTCACAATTTTTCTAAAGTTCCGTGTGAGCATATTCATTGTGTGATTCTTTGTCCTTTGGTACAATAAATAAACCCTCTGCAGTTGTCCATCGTGTGCCGTGCTGCGTACTACTGAAACCGACAATCTCCATCTGGCCAGAAATTGGTCTTCCAAACGAACGTCCAGACATACCCAAATAGCTGCCAGTGTCTAAATGGCGCAGGCGTACATGAGCATCACGTACCCATTCATCACTGGAGCAAATTAACTCCCAATGATCACCGGTGTCACCTATACCATCATCCCCATAGGCTGACACTTCTTGTTCACCAGATAAAGGTGAGGGAAAATGATGAGAATGTAAGTTCTTCTTAGTAGTTAAATGTTCTAAGCGTATTATATCGCCACATTGTATGGGTTCGCCACGTTCACAATGCTTATTTGTTGGTGCCTTTATCACCCAATGACTGTTAACATCTTCTTTTAATTCAATTCCTGTCACCGATTGTTGACCAGAACCAGAACCGTATTTCACATCATGTGAATGCAAACGGGAGCCATAATCCGAATTCAGTAGTTTTATTATTGAGCCACATGTTACAAAATTGGTTTTGCCCGCTGAAAGGAAGCCAAAAATGTCTCTATTAGAAGTGATAACAAAACTGCAACCGGAAAAAATACAACAAATATACACAGCTAGTGGGCGGACCACCACCAATCACAAGCGACCACATCAAACTTACCAAAAGACACGGGAAATGTGCATAATATAAATGAAAGGATTATTTCTAACGGCAAATAACATTTATTCGTGTTCATTTCTTCTTATTTTTACCTAAATTAATTAATTTGTTCAAATAAATACTCTTAATTCTCGGTAGATGAAAAACGATAAGTTTACACTATGTAGGGAACTTTTGACTTCTAATTGACAAAATTGCCGAACGACACGCAAACAAATGTCAAATTAGATAACACAAATCTGGCTTGCGCAAACTAACAATATGTTGCCAGAATTTACATTAGTAAGATATTATTTGTCAGAATTTTAATTTTTCTATCGTTTTGTTATAATTCTTGCTTTTAGTTTACATTTAATTATTGGAGTTTGTAAGTTTTTTTTTTTTGCGATGAAGAACAAGAAAATTAGAATGTATTTTATTATTAAACAAATTATGTCGAAGCATTATTGTATATACCAACTTCAAAGTTACATATATCCAAATTTTACTAATTTACGATTAATGTCTATATACATATATATATTAAACAAAGATTTCAAACAATTTTACCGCATATCTTCATTATAAGGTTTCTCTGGCATCGCACAAACAAAACAAAGGATGTCAACATTTGCGAACATGATCATAGAAAACAGCTGACAAGAGAAGGGAAAGAAAAATACAAAATAGACGTACATTTATTAAAATTTTACAAAATTTCTTATTCAATTTAATAAGCAATGTTTCGACCAGAAAACATGCGTTGTAGTGTTACAGTATTAGGCATTTTATGCTTATCCCTAACTGTTTCGGTAAGCGTTCAGATTTTTGTTTTGAAGGTTCATTAAATATATATTATAACAACGCATACGAATTTGTAGTTTGCTATGGGAGATATAACTCAACAAAATACCAGCAATCCACCTAAGGTTGATAACAACAATGTTCCTGCTGTCAAAGGTTCATTGAGTAGCACTTTAGCACCAAACATATTAAATTCCTTAGTGCAAGCCACAAATTCAACACCTAAATGGTACGTATTCGAGTTTTCTATTTTTGATTATTAATATTTATTTCTTTTTTATTCTCTTAGTGTGTGTGATGGAGCTTTGCTACCGCGTCTAAATGAAAATGGTAAAGTGCTGGAAATCTGCCCGGAATGTAAATGCCAGCATGAAGCAAGGAACACAACGCTAATTAAGGTAATGTGCAGCAGTTTCGTTTACGTATTTTAAATATAAATATATAGTTTCTAAAGAAAATGGCTAGTTCAGAACTCCAATTGTTCATATCATAGTAGCAAAAATTTTCGATTAGTTTTAATTTTCGCTTTAAAAAAAAACAACAATATTAATTGCATTAAATTGCAGACTCTGATTTTGTTGAAATTATTATTGTTTAGTACGAAATATAAATTTTATATATAATATATTTTTTAAAATTTATTAATATCGAAAAACTATCTTGCCACAGTATATATATGTATATTTCGCCCATCTCTATATCAATTCAATGATTTTATTTTCTAATTATTTCAACAGGTCGTTGTCATAATCGTAATTTGGATTATATCCATACTTGTAATATATATGCTGTTTCTTATTTGCTTGGATCCACTACTCAACAAGCGTGTTAAGGCGAATTATCAGGAGCACACAAACGAAGATGTACATATCAAATATTCCAACGTACAATATAGTCTCTTGGAATATGACAATAAAGATTCTGATTGATTATCTTTTAGTTTTCGTTTTCATGTTGTTTTTTACATATTTTGTTGCACATATGTTTAATTTTACATAGTTTTTTGTATTTTCTGTAATCAACACACTAACGACACATACATACATTTTAATTTTAAAATGTTCATTTCCGTTATCAATATGAGTTTGTATACCTAGTAGGCGATTAAGCACACACATACATGTTCTAAGTATTTACACTAACACCAAAATTGTTACAATTTAATGTTAATAGCTGTGAAATTTTTAACACTATCATTATTTCTCTTTACTATTATTAGGATGAAGCAAGCGGTACTTCCCCTCCATTGCCGTCCGGCATAGCAAATCAAGAAATGAATTCTCGCGCAAATGTATTGAATCGTGTTGGTCATCAAACGGATAAATGGAAGCGACAAGTGCGCGAACAACGTCGTCACATCTATGATCGACGCACAATGTTGAATTAAATTCGTAGCTTATGTAGGGAGAATTCGCGTTTATTTTCTTTAATATTTTTGAATATATTAATTTTATTAAAAAAAAAAACAAAAAAGTTTATAACGTAATCAAATGTATCTTATAACTGCATATTTACATATACATACATATATGTGTCGCCACTATCTGCAGCTATCCAACCTTTTTTAATTAATGTGGCGACGATCTCATACGAGAAAGTACTTGTTTCAATATATTATTTCTTTTTCTTTCGACTAAGTAAGTTTTGTAGAAATTAATGTATTAGAAGTAATCACTTTTAAATATCGCATATGCCTGCATACTTACGATTATTCATACGAAATAATACATAAATGTATAGAATTAAAGGATTTTAGCGAAAATATATGTAACAATATATTTATTATTGGAACCAAAACAGAAACAAGAACAGGGATTAGTCCGCAGAGGTTGGAAATGTGATCGTGTATTTTATTATATGGCCCACATCGGGTTGAGGAAACAAAATTTAGACTTTTTCATTTCTGTAACTCCAGAAAAATCGAATAGTCTGCGGATGCGTGAAGAACGGCTGAAACCATCTCACCAGACATCTACCGTTTCTACGTAACCAGAATGGACCGGACTTCTATCTGGCCAAGGGTTAACTCGACAGCATTCCCCCAAATTATTTCAGGAATGTTTTCTGCCGCTACAACAAAAACAAAATCTGCAGAGGACGATTGCATTCATTTAAACCTTTCCCTCGTAAAAAACTAGCAGGATATCCAAAAACTATATGAGACATTCTATAAATTACAAACCTTTAATACCGTAATATGTAAAACCAATTATGAAAGTATTCTATTTTATTTAGTATAAGCATATATTTGAAATTAATAGCCTTTAACCAAAGTAGCCAATTGCCAATTCTGGTTAACTTCGAAGGGTCCTTGAACAATTGTACCTTGAGCGGTGGAAACTGCTACCGAATATTTCGATATCGCACGACAATCACGATAGTACAACACCTCCATGCACTTACGTAGCTATTAAATAATAATAAAAATCAAAAATTAATTAGAATATCGAAAAATATTTATAAAGTAATATATTTTTTACCACTTGTGAAGCTTCACTTTGCGACAGTAAGCGATTATTTGAGATTTGCTCACGCACTAATGGCAAAGCAAAATGTTTGCCAAAACCGGTGGCCACTACATCGTCTTCATAAGCACGTCCACGAAGATCCACATGACCCAAGAACGGCACACCATCTTGCATGCCACCAACAACCATCTCTAACCACAATGGATTGATACGGCTACGACGGTTGTACAATATACGCGTTAGCCAATTGTACAGTGATTTCGGTTGCATTTCAATATCGTCTTGATAGCACATATCTTCGACCATTTTCTGGTCTATACTTCTTTTTAGACTTTGAAAATCAGCAAAATCGCCACCAGCACCAATGATTGTTTTTTCATTTATTTTGAAAACACGCTGAACATCTTGGTAGCGTGCCAATGACCCATAAGAGACAAGGTTATCCGCAGCAATCATAACACCGCCATCAAACTTAACTCCAATTACTGAGGTACCAGTGGTAATTGGTGATCTACAAATAATGAACACAAATTAATTCTTGTATTACAAGAGGGTTGTACTACTTTTATATTTTTACTTACGACGAACGATTAGACCCATATAAACCAGGTGCTGTGATATTACCGGCATTGATATCTAGGCTAGTGCCAGGAAAGTTATAAAATTGTCCAGGCACAGGGCCACCTCGCCATAATTCTGTTTGAATAAAGTTATTTTGTGAATACATTTTGTATAATTTTTATACGAAAATTAATATTGCTAGCATAAACGATGAAATGCAAATTGTGGACAATGACAACCAAATTATTGTTTGACAGTTTTAATAGTTGCCGTCCTTACGTGAATTACTGAAGACAAAATATTACTTTACCAATACTGTTAAAATAACAAACATATGGTTGCTGTAAATAGTAGGAAAAATTATTTTATTTCATATCTTTAAAAATAGTTAACTGTTTCAATTCAATAATTATTTAAATATAATTTTGTGATTTTTGGAGGATTAATTAAATTTTAAAAATGTATGCCAAGACACTAAGCTACAACCAGTAGAAAGCCATAACCAGATAAAAACATATCCAAACACTGTTTTTGTTGTAGCGGTTATCTAAAACTCTATTTAGTGGAAAGGTAGGCTAATTGGCATCGAAGCAATCCAATCCATGCTGTTTCGATAGAATCGGACCAAAAGAAAAGAGGTGTAAATGAACAAGTCCCAAGACAGCCGGTTCTACGTTACCGGAATAGACCCGGATTTTATCCGGCGAAGGACTGTCATTTCTGCTATCTAACCCTGTTTATATCGGTGAATTTTAGGTGAAGATTGCCTTCCATGGAGCAACTCCTAGCAGAAGGATTGCTCTGAATCCTCCTGACCCGTTCTAGCATTGATTCCAACCCGGGTCCGGAGAAATTTTTCTGCTGCGTTGGCAGTAAAGGTTCCATCCGAACTCCACTTCGCATAAGTGTAACACAAGCACTTAATGGAGCCATCTTAAGACCTGCTGAGGCCTAAAGACACATCGGGAGTGGACCACAAGCTATGTGACCTTATGTTGCCAACGCACTATTGCGTCACCAGCCTCTACGGCCGTGCAAATTGCAACCCGTTCGCGCACTGCCCCGCCACTTCAGCCGAGTAGCCAACAAAGGACCTCTACGGTCCTAAGAAGCTCAAACTGGCTGAATGACTGGCTGGTGTCACTTCCCGAAGTGTTCCGCCTTAACCGCTCTATCCATTCCTACGCGCGTAATCGTTGGCGAGCGTATATTCGACATGGTGATCGCAGCTGCTACCACTCGCTTCATCCTAGCTTTAAGAATCGCTGGACTCCGCCTTAACTTCCACCCGAAGCAGCTGTTTTAGCAAACCTTACTTATTGCCATCCCCAAATAAAAGATCTCAATTTGGAAATTCTGGAAATGGTTAACCACAATGGATAGAACACTTGAAGTCTTGTAACCTCTGCACCGGTAAGAGAAAGCTTTGGACTTCTGTCAAGGCCTTGTCAAATCCGAAGAGACATGACGACCGGGTTGAAATAAAAATCGATGGTCATGCCACCTCGGACACGAACAAGTGCGCGAGCTATTTTAACCGGCAGTGCACCTTTCGACATAGAAGGCTAAACGATGTGTTACCCGACAACTGCGCAAAATGGCCAAGGACTGTCAACGCGGCAGAATTCTGCCGGTACAACAACAACAATTGAAGCCTTGCCGTCTGAAGCTTTTTCGTCTGCATTTCACCACATCCGGCAGGCCGATTGCCTTGAATGTTGCCATCAAATTATCTTTGTCATTGTTTTGTTCAGATGAAATTCGAATGCCTTCGACTGTGATATTAAGATCTAGACTGTATTCTTTCGTCCAGCTCGTGAATATGGTCGTTGTGGATTTAGTTGGGGAGAGTTTCAGGCTCCATGTAGAGAAGAAGCGACGAAGATTGGTAATATAGTTTTCTACTTCCTTCCATTGTCTGATGTCACTATCGGACAACACCCTGCGGAACCCCATATTTAATTTTTCTTAACATGGAATTTTGACCTCGAAATAGTTCATGGTCCATCTCTTCAGTTCTGGTATTAGCGTGGATTGTTCGATGTGTTCTAATACCGTTGTATGATTGACTGTGTCAAAAGCATTTGGCACGTCCAACGCTACTAGATTCGTCCTCTCACAGGGTGGTTTTTGATTTAGTCCACGAACAATCTGGACATTTATGACGCTAAGTGCTGTGCACTTTCCAGAACCATGTTGATGATTTGCTAGACTCTGGCGGTGAGTGAAAGCCAGGAATAACAAGGCTTTAAGTGTCTTCACTACTGGGGAAAGGAGAATTATCAGATGATCAGACTCCATCAGGTTGATGGGTTTTCCAAGTTTTAGTAATAATAGTGCAGTAGGAACTATCGAAACGGGTCATTTAGAAGACAAATCAGCGTCACTAAATGTTCTCAAATATTGAGCAATAATCCAATGGGCTTCTATTAACATATCTATGGGGAGGCTTCACTCACTAGAAATACTAAGTTTAAATCAATAAATCTAATTTATGTAACTTAATTTTGGCATGTAAATAGGTGTCTCATAAAAATTTAAAAAGAAATGTTCTCGTTTGTTTTGTTTTCCATTTATTGTTTCTTTATTGGCGAATAATCATTAACGGTTAAACAAATTAAACAGTTCGATACCCCGTTGCCACTATAACGTCACCAAACTTACAAATAATATACATATGTTACCATAAACTTTAAACAATAATTAAAAACATCGTGAAAATATTACTAAATAAATCACATAAATACATACTCATATCAACTTTTACATAATTAATACTCATACGAATGTTGGGAATGTTGGCTTACAATACTTTATACCTGTATGTATATATTTTTTAAACTTAAATAGGAATGGTAACAAATTGGGACCAAATATAATAGATATAAATTATATATGTACAATATATAGATATTAAATTGATTTTTATAAAAGTAGCATTTTAAAATACATTTGTATATATGTATGTATGTACGAAATATGTATGTATTGATTACCAATTTTAGTTTTTCAAATTACATATTGCAAATATTTATTTAAAATCTTTAGTGCTTAAAGCTTATGTTTCCAACACTTTTTTTCATACATATCTACACATGAAATACTTTCAGCTCTATATAAGGAGAAGTCTGCGAAAATTGGTCATAGTTTTCCTTATCAAACAGCAAACGATTGCTGTACCCACCAACTTTTGTAATAATTTGCATTCGATCGCGTATCAAAGAACTTCCAACACATTATGGCTATGTTATTCATCAATTCGGCAGCAGCCACAGCAGCAGCACAGCAAGGATTTACCAGCGCTCTTCAGCGGTTTGTTATATGTGTGTGGTCCACGCATGAAGACGTCGATTAATTGGCAATGGGAACTGTAAGAATTCAAAGTAAATGATTGGTATTTAATTGAATCAAAGAATTTTATGATTAAAAATAAATTTTTATTTTTTATTTAATACGAGGTTGATTTAATTAACTAACAAAAACTATAATTCTGTTAAAAAGATATATACGATAATGTATTCTACGATATAAAATATCTTCCGATAGTTGTGCCATAGGACGGAGAAGCTAAGATTCTAAAATGACCGCACTCGTATATACGGCCAATGACAGTCAACCCGACAGTATTCCAAAAAGAGAAAAACAATTTAGGTTAGGTTTAAGATATGTGTTACAACACCAACTGTTGGTTAAAATTGATTACGGTCACTCCCGTGAGTATATACGAGTATTACACACAAATTCATTCACGCTTAAATTAAAATACATACATCATAGTTAATTCCTGATCGTTAACCACTTCTCCGTCACAGTTCCAGCGCGACAAACCGTTGTCGTCATCATAGTCAACAGTTTCAGCGATCGGCTGACAGGAACCACTAATACTATAGTCTTGCGCAAGATTTGCATTAGGTGAACGGAAGCAGAACTTTTTGGTGCGATAGGTTTCCACAAAAGGCAAATTTCGCTACGCAAACAAATTAAATATATTAAAAATTGTATATAGAGGTTAAGGCGAGTTGGTACTCACAATATCGCCGCTGCGCCCCATTAAGTTTATGAGCAATCGCACATTGTTGAGCAGCGAGGTTTTTCGCACTAGTATCAGGTCTAGATAGCCATCGCCTAGATGACTGTAGCGTGCCACACCGTTGGGACTACGCGTGCAGGCGCAGGTAATATTCGCGCCACTGATCATAAAAAATTTACCATTTATTGTTTTCCACTCACTTTCGACCTTACTTTTTATTTCCGGCGCGCACTCGCCATCTGCCGCATCGCACACCATTTCACTATTATTATCACAGTCCGTCAAATTTATATGCTTCTTATCATCAAAGTCCATAGTTTCATTGCTACTACTTGCATCACACATATTTCCGCCACGCAACTTGGCAGCGGTGCCACCCACTTCCAAATAATTCGTTGTATTGCTTTGGCCGTCGTTACTATCATCACAGCTCTTCAATGAGGCGTTCGAAGAGGTGGGCAGCTCATCGCCTTCAACACGCGTCGGCGCAGTAGCACTTGCCAATACGCCTTCCTGCATTAAAGCGCATTTCGTTGCAAGCGCCGCCTGTGCAATGGACGCCGCGTCACAGCGCGTACAATTTGTATAGCAAATTGTATCATCTGTAGTTGACACGTTTTCACTCCTCGCGCCTTCTTCGTGTGCAGCCGCAATGGCATTTAATTTTTTGTCGCCTATTGGCTGAAAGACGCGCAGCTCCGCTTCATAGCCGTTATTGGTAAGGAACGTTTTAACACCGGCAAACTCATAGCGCTTGGTACCCAGCCAACGATAACGCTCGCTCCTCGCCGCCACATCGCCCAAATAGCCGTAGGATAATACACTGGCGCAAAAGCGTATGACACCTTCACGATTGCGCACGCTACAAATGTCCAGACCGCGCCGCTGACCCAAAATTAAATGTATCGCCGCAGTACGCACATCCGCTGTGCCATGTAAGCTGTACGCGACCGTATCGGTGCTACCCGCTGGTATTATAGCTACGGGCAGCGTTGGTCTCGGCACATACGGCGGCTGGCGCGCATCTAAGCCCGCGTCGCATATCGCGCGAAAGATGAGTCCGTTAATTACCTCCGCCACTGTGCCGTCGCCACCAACACAGCAAACTGCATCAAACGGCGACAAATCATGACTCAATAGTATGTCGCGGATTTGATTCGAACGCTGCGATATAATGCAGGACGCGTCGATGCCAGCCAATTGAAACAGCGGTTTACAGTGGCGCTCATAGACGTGCAAGCCGCGCTGACGTCCGCCATACGGATTGATGAAGACCAGTAAGCGGCGCACGCGCAGACGCGTCGGCGCCGTATTCGCCAGCATTTTATTGAGCAGCGCATGCCATTGCCGCACCACATACGCGTCCGCATTGTAAAGTACCAGGTTGTGCACGTCCCAGCGATTGCAGTCTGTCTCTGAGTTCACGATGCGCGCGGCGTATGATAAGGCAAGATACTGTTCAGTGGGTGGCGTACTGCTGTGTTGTTGTTGTTGTTCGCTTGCGGTGTGCGCATCGAACTCAGCCATTGGCTGCGGTGCTGCAATATGCAAAGCCGCCGACTTGGTGTTGCCCTTGCTCACTCTGATTAGCTCGTTTATATGCAGCACATTCGTGTTTTTGCCATAGACTGCGCCTAAGTAACAACAACAATAAGAAAAAACAAACAAAAGACAAATATGTTAAGAATATATATTTTTTTAATAATATTAACTCACTTTGCTTCAAGTTGCACTCAGCGTCCGCATCGCTGTTGCGCTTCGACTGCAGTTGCTCCCAAACAATGTGGTCATAGTTGAGCAAGACGCGATAGCGTTTCTTCTTGATTTGAAAGTTACTCAGGAGTATATCACAATTTTGACTGCTGGCTATGGGTGACACTGCCCGCGCTGCAGGAGTTGCCTCCTTCTCTTTGCGGCTTGCGGTATTTGCATTGTTGTGCGTAGCGGACAACTGCGCGAAATCGGTGCTGCTCTGCGTCATCTCGGTGGCTGGCGTTGGACTGATTAGTTAAGCGCGACTCGACATGCCAAAAGCTGAAATGAAAAAGTTTTTAGCGGCGATTCAAACTGGTTTTCGTATGCAAGATGAAGCAAAGAAAAACTGTGTAATAGCGAATTGTGAAAAAGAACCAAATACTAGTAGGTAAAGAGAAGGAAAATATGCCGAGAAACTAATAAAACCGTATTTTCCACACCAGCGATTGTATTAAGTGGCAAAAAACAACAAAAACAATCAAAAAATATTACAAATATTAGCGTGTTTTTGTTAAGCTAACATTCGCATTAGGCAAACTTGTTTTCTAATCAGCCAACGTTCGCAGAATAGCATAAGCTAGGTTACTGTTTTCATAATTTGTATTGTATTATGTACATATACAAATAAAAATATATTCTAAAAAATTATTTAAAATTTTTAAGCCTTATTGCGTCGTTTCAAATAAATAAGACTAAGTCGTCGGATATTGTTGTTAGAGCACCATTAAATATTCCTCAAATAGTGTTTTGAAGTATCGTGGAAGCGATTTTATGTAGTCTCTAAAATACCTATAAAGTGCTACCTATAAAGTGCTCTAAAGTTTCATATTGTTAATCGAAACTTGTAAATTTTGCTTTGTCAAGGTATCAAGCCAAATTCTATGGACACAACCGACGTATTCGTACTAAGTAACCGCATTAAGTGGTTATGTTAGCCGTCTAAAAAGCCAAATTTTGCCATATTTAATTTAGAACTATGGAAAAAGTAATCCACTTTCTCTTTCTCAGGATTTATTTAGCATATATTTGGTTAGTAAGCCAATCTTTGAAATCAACTCCCCTCTCCGGGCGACAGCAATTATAGGAACTCTCGCTTTCTGAAACAAAATATAAAACTGGGTCTTAACCTTCATAAGACTTGCAAGGACAGTAATTAAGTTTTTAGGTTTATATAAAATTTTCACAAAATGGTAGACACATAAAATAAGGTACAATTTTTGACCGAAAAATTATTATATTGATACTACTATGAAACTACAATAAAAATGTTATGTTCATTGAACCTTTTCTGTCGAACATAGTTTTCTAATCGAACATAACTATATTTTCATTTAACTAATTGTTATTTTAACGGATATCGGGCCTTTAATCCGGGCTGTCATCAAAAGGCATCGTATAACGACTGTCTTATAAATTGAAGGCCTCATTTTATGATTTCAAAATACTCTCAAATATTCTCATCGATGATGTATTATTATATAGATTTTGGAATAGTCGTCATTACAGCTTGTGTATTGGAGTAAGTTTTATGAAGGGGATTTTGAAAAGATCCTGAAGTATTCTATATTTAAGAACTTTTCGAAAACATCACTTGCAAAAACCTATGCTTAATATATCTCAATGCTTAAGGAAGTCCCTACCCGGAATCTAGATCCACAGTTTATGAACCCTCAGTGCCAAAGTAACACAAAAGACTAGATGAAAGCAGTTTCAAACAAGCATTTGATTGACTATACCGATGTGGTTGGAGGATTAACCAATGTCAATGTCATCTACTTAATAAAGTCTCCTGAGAACTAGTTCGTGTATATACAGACAGATGGACGTATATATAGACAAGCAGATAGAAGGACAGACGGACATGGCTAAATCAACCCAGCTCATCATGCTAATCAGCTATGTATAATATATACATATGTATGGTATACATTTTATAGGGTCTCCGACGTCTTTTGGGTGTTACAAACTTCGTGGTAAACTTAATATACTCTGTTCAGGGTATAATTCTGGAAAACATCGGCAATCATCACCAACAGGTCTAGTCAGTCATATTGCATGCTTCGATTTTGAATATTTTCGGCGTAGATAGAAAAAAAGTAAACTTCTCGGTGCAAATGAACGCAGTAACAGCAGCTACAGACGCTAAAAATGTGAGAGAAGTATGTGTTGTTACAGCATAAAAAAATTTTAGACTGTTGCTGGAGTAAATTCCAGGAAATATTATGGTTTTTTTCGCTAGTAAAAGTAGTCTCATTTATCAGTTGGGACTTCAAAATATTAGAATTTAGTCTCAAACAAAGAAAGTCATTGAAGAACAATAAAAAAAAAATATTTTGAGATGACTCGTTGAGTATGTGTGCTGTGAAAGGTCAAAAAAGTTGCAAATATAGGATGTAAACATCTCTCATAGTAGAAGTACTTGTTGCTGCACTCTCGTGTGCTTATATTACACTTATTATCAGGCACGAAAGCAATTTGTGGGTGGTGAATTCACGTTGATTACTTGTTAACTCAAGTCTGCACATTCCGAGAAGCACTGACACCAATTGTTGCGAGTCATTAATTTCAAAGCAGCGTCCTACAAAGCGCACGCGAGAGCCGGCAAAACGCGCAAAAGCAACGAAGACAAAACTCGAAACAACATCTACTTGAGTGCTATTCATACTACTTACGAGTATATTTGTATGTATGTACATGTATGTTTGTATAATTACTTAATTTCATTAAGCAGCCGTTGAATACATCATTAAAAAAAAAACTTTGGAAAAAGTGCAAAGTTTAAAGTTCCGCATTTTGTAAGCAACGACAAAATGCAAATCTTCTTAGCATAAAACAAAAAAAAAAAATATATATATATGCACGTAGATGTAAGACTTAATAGATAATTTACATAAATACAAAGTACGAAGATGATAAAGCAACCATTATTGTCAAGTTCAAGTACAAAACCGTTCACCTTCGACGGCAATGCGCGATCGCATTTAGCGATTTGTCCACACTGGCGTAACTGTGATAAAGTGATCGGCACTGAGAGAGGTGCCGTTAATTTATTTTTATACATTTTTGTATTGTTATTATTTCTTTTTTACAGATCATTTTTCTTGTGTGATTATTTTCGCATCAAAATACTCCCTTTTGAGTTCAACTTAGCTCCAATGTTTCTCATTGTTCGCCTATACATCTGATATGTATATGTATGTACATATTTATAACGTAATACAGAATAATCTTAAAAACCAGTTGATCTTGAAAATATCAGCTATGGAAATATCTCTCGCGTTTGCTCTCTGTGTTTTCTTGAGCAACTGGACTGGGCCATTGAAACTATGCGCGTTAACAGAATCAGCAAGGCTATTTTTCTAGATCGATACAATCTCCTTTGTGTGAAGTTGGAGCCAAATATGACACATAACTGTTGTATTCGTGTGAAAGGTGGACGAAAAATTACACCTAGCTGTCAAATTTATTTATAATTATAAAATAGTTTTTTTTTTGGTTTAACTCCAGAAAAATATAGAATTACGGCTGTCATTCAAAATTTTGCAACGTTTTTCGAAGGGTCGTGGGATAGTAGAAAATTAGAATAACCTAATTGTAAGTAAAGTGAACTTTTACTTTTTTTATCCACTCTTATTTGATAAAATATGCATTTTTTTAACTAGAGATGCACAAGTCAATGTACTTATCGATATTGATGATATCGCTATTTATTAATGACCAAGCTTAGTTGATACAATGTGGTTTTTTTTTAAACAGAGATGGTCAAGTTAAGTACTTATCGATATTAATTATATCGATATGTATGTATATTATCGATTATATACGATTTTTGTCCAAATTTAGTTGCTACAAATTTAATTTTTTAACTACAAATGAACAACTGATGTTAGGTATTATAATTTTTAATTAATAATTGTAAATATTATCGATTAAATTATGATACGCCCTTGGTGTATAAGCTTTACAAATTTTTTTACCTAGATATGAGCAAGTGATACAGTGTATCTGTTATACCATTATACACTAGAAGTGAGCAAGTGCTGATAAGTATCCATATTATTATATTGCTATTTATGAATACTATAGATATTTGTCGATTAAAATCTGATACAAACTTGGTTAAGAAGCATTACAAATGTTTGACCTAGAGCAAGTGCTACAGCTACCGAAATATAGATTATTACTGGAGTTCATCAATTAAAACATTTTAATACTTGTTATACCATCTTAATTGAAAACTATTGAAATTTATGTCATAGGATAGGATAATCTAGTTTATCAATATTTATCGATAAAAGATTTTATTCAAGCTTAGTTGAAAAAATATTGAAAGTTTTAGCGTAGAGATATAAGTAAGTGACCCAATATCCATATCATAGACATGGTTATAGGTCTTTATCGATAAAATATATTTTTTTAACCAAGCTTAGTTGATAAAATATTAAGATTTTTGAACCAGAGAGGAGCAAGTTACGCAACGTATCGATGATGATATTTTTATCGACATTTTTCAATCAAAATATGATATTTATCTTTTTTATCCAAGCTAATTGAAATTTGCTACGAAATGTTTATAAATTATACATATAAGTATGCACATATATGCAAAATATGTTAATGGGTCTCCATAAAGCTCAAATTTGTTTTTGCCACTCTAATATTTACTTGAGAGCGGAAGAGCCACTAACTTACCTTGAACAATGGCAAACAATGTTAGATAAAGCAGCTTAGTGCTAAGTGATTTCTGTATTAAAGTTACTGACTCTTAATATGACTTTTAAAATGCTATATATTATATGTACAAATGTATCCGAGTATTTCTTTTGGCTAATCATGCAAAATATTGCTTTAGTGTTACATGGTGTTTGTATGTACAGTATGCGGATATATGTACATACATATGTATATATGTATAGGCATGCAGGTGTAATCATCGTAATATCAATAAATCAATATAAATGAAATACTAAACATCGAACTGCACAGTTAAGTGAATGCATGAAAGCACACATATGTACATACTTACATATGAACGAACTGCGCACGCTTCCATTATTCTAAGAAAATTTCAAATGAATGCAATCTTTGTTTTGCTGTTCAAAACCTCAGTCGATGAAATGATGCTGATTTGTTATTTGGGTTTCCTCTAATAAGTAAATGAATTGTAAATAATCAGCTTCGCCTCTATTTTTCTTATCGTTTGCCACCATCAGAAAGGAATTCGTTAAATAAACGAATTTAAGAAATACTCATATGTTTTGCTTTCAAGAATTTGCATATATTGATTCTTAGCTCAATTAGCAAGAATTTGATGCCATACACAGTGTACAGTGACTCATAAAAGTGTGCATAACAAATATGCTTGGGTTTACAACTTCTTGAAAACTATCGTTAATGGGAAAGTATTAGTGATTTTTATAGAAATGCTTGACTTTTACCGCTTTGCCAGTTGAAAATATCGAGTAATTTTGTTTTAAGTGTGTCTCCATAAAAAAAACAACTTTGGGCAAATATGGAAACTAGGGTCGCCAGTGGTCGAAACTCGACCGAGAGAAAACGCAATTTATTAACAATGTTAAAATTATTTGGATTTTATTGAAGAGTTTAAGCAAAATGTGAACAAAATCTAAAGTTGTAGAAAAGAATTTACAAAAAAATTTAACATTTATAATTCATTATGTTGCAAAATCATTTGTTCTCTTTCGGGTTTTGGCTTAATTCTTCCATGAATGTACATTCGAATCAAATGGGCCAATTTGAATTCTTTTGCTGTACATTTGTTCTTCCAATAAAAAAATTCATTCATTTGTCCAATAAAAAAATTTTCCATACTAAAACAAGATTTTCATCGTTCAGTTTGTAAGACAGCTATATGCTATAGTAGTCCGATATCGGCGGTTCCGCCAAATAAGCACAGCTTCTTGGGTAGAAAAACCGCTTCAAAAACAAAATGATTGAGAATCGTTTTTAACATTAAAATGTATTGGAATTTGTAAACTTGAACTCTAACTAATAATATCAGTTCCATCAAATCTTCCTATAATTACTATACATATGCATGTAGGTATGTGTAGGTATATATATAAGTAGATTTCATGAATATTTTCGTAAGTCACTATAGACTCGAATGTAAATTTCCGAACACTTATCTTTATTTTGCCGAATGTAATTTCAAGTAAACATAATTTGATCGGTTGTTACTTTGCTTCCCCGCGCCTATCTTCAAAATCCAAATATTTTAATAGTACTTCTAAATATTCATATATGTATGTATATATTTATGTATTTGGTGGTATATACAAGTAGTAAAGCAACACAACAAGGAACCAGGGCATACAGAATACTTCTGCTAAGTAGGCACTCAGATACTCAAAAAAAAAAATTAATTAATTGCTACTTTTACCTTTGGCGGTATGTAATAATCTAGCAATATTTATAAATAATATAAAAAGAAACATTTAAATGTATTTTTTGAAGGACATTTTATCTTCACTTGTTCTATTTATATACATAATTACTTTATATGTGTGAATAGCTGACATCAACTCAGTAAACCTTGACAACTAGCGAAAACTGAATCGAACTAGCAACTTGCCTAAATAAATTAGTTATATCACTTCAATGAGGGTTCCAATATTCTCTTACATTCACCACATCTCTGCTCTCCTGAAAAGGAATTTACATTAAAACAGATCTCAAATATAGCGTGCAGAGAAGTGGTGGATCTAAACTGATTTAAAATGAAAATCAAATATAATATTACATACAAACTAAATAGCTAAAAATAAGGGACCAAACTTTTAAAACAACTCCTTTTGTGATTTAAAATTACATTTTTCAAGACATTCGTGAATATCGGTTTTGCTGTATTAAGATGCCTTAGAACAAAAGCATGATCTAAGTTGTAACTTTGACTTAAGTTAATAGTATTATTAGTAGCAATAAATATTATTTGTTCTGATCGGTTAATGAATTCACCCATCGGATATTAAAAATTTATTTGTCCGTCCAGTTTATCTCATCAAAACTCGATATGTGGCGATATGTAAACCTTTTATATCAAAATTATGCAAATTAAGAAGAGAAAGAGATTTCAGTTTTTTACTTGAGTAGGTATTATTATTCAAAATAATTCAACTTTATTGGCTGGAATGTTTGAAAAATATATTTTTGAATCATAAAAACAAAGTAAAACAGCTGATTTTGACATTGTGAGTTAAACACTTTTGACAATTGGTTGTTTTTGGGCTATGGACACAACCTTAAATAATTGAATCATGAATTTATTCTGAGAGTGTACTCATTTTCTATTTAAATGAAAGTGTTAGATATATTCTCGTATTGTTAGAAGTTATAAGATTTTAGTCGAAGCATTTTCATTAGAAAAAAAATGTGACAGAGTGTCAAAAAGTCAGCCGTTCTGTGTGTCAAAGTAAATTGGAATTTCATATAAATACTTGAAATAAAAACTAAAACCGTATAATTATCTAAACAAAACAATTGATTTTTTAAAATATTTTTTTAAATTCGTATTTCTATTAGCATTGTATTTTTATAGCAATATTAGGCGTTTGACAGTACAATAATTTTTATATGAACGCCTTTCGATACTCATCTCTTACTCTGAGGGTATATTTATGTATTTTGACAGCTTTCACAGTTTTCTTACTGAGTGAACCAAAATAATATAATTACTTTCATCTTTAAAATTTACAAATAATTAAATTGAGTCTTATGAATATGCCTAGAAGAAAAAATAACTGTCTACTTATACATTGGCGGTCCGTATATGGGCTGCCTTAGTGTTTATAAATGAATATTATAAAAGCCCTATTACTTTTTCTTGAATATTTACTGTTTACCGAAATTTGCATAAATGCCTGTTTTGTTTACAAATTAACGCGAATTTGCCGAAAATAATTAAAAATGAAATACGCGAAAGTGTTGCCATTTATTCCTTTGCCACCAATAGAATCTAGCCAATTGCACTCAATCACGTACATACACAGCTAGTAAAAGTATAATTTTTCAAATTAGGAAGTTAGAAAAAATAACAACAACAAATTAACGGGCGAGATTGTTACGTGCCTTCATGTCCGCAATCAGACGTGTGCGAATCTAAATTGCCATTTGTCGTTTAATGGTATCATTTTGTGGTACTAAGCACTTTAAATTTGTGTACAGATATACTTATGTACGCATAATATACACAATACTTGCATGTACATACATATGTACACGTATCTAAGGTGTAAGAATATAAAGCGTTTTACCTAATATAAAATATTATAATATAAATTGAACCAAAAAGTAATGTATTTCTTTTGAACAAGTACGTAACTGGTGCATTTATTCAAAATTTGACAGTTATCAGCTCGTAGGACTTCTAAGAACGTAAAAAATATCAGACTTATGCTTACGAAAAGGAAGTAGTCTGACTAGTTGGGCTTGTGGTTCAACTAGTTGACAAGTATTTTGATTTCACTGCGGGTTATTTATGCTCACATACACTCGTACATACATACTGATGTACATCGACTATATGTATGTATGTATATTTATGAGCAGAACAAAGTGATACGATTTTTTCTTTTAATTATTGTAATAAATAATACTAATTTAATTAAAATTTAGAAATTTCCAACGTAAGTCCGGTGAAATTTGATAAGCGATATTTACGAAACGAAAGCTTTTTATGCACTTGAAATATTATTTATAGCTAGAAGATCTAGTGGGGTCATCAAATAAACAATAAGTTAGTTAGTGTAATTTTCCGTAGAAATTGTATTGTCAAAACAAATCGAAGATGTTGATTTTTAATATTCTGGAACTAAAGAGTTTGGTTTCTTGACTTGGCACAGAAAATGAAATCAATTAAAAAATTGTGTTGAGCGCAAGTGAATAATATTTTTATTGCGTAATGACTATTATGAACACTATTCTATAGCCAAAGCGCTCAATTCTCAGAGGCAAGTAATAGTATGTCAATTTACTCAATGTATTTGGTGTTCAAATGTACTCAATTTAGCTCAAAAGATTAGTATTATATAGTAGGTTCAAAAAACTAGCTTACCTAGTTTCTAACCTTACTTATTTAAAATCACGTGCAAGTGTCATAAAGTTGGTTTTTTGAAATACTAATATATTTAATACCCGTATTAATTTTATTTAAAAAATTATATATCCAAATTTAAAAAACTTTGGCAACCACATTCCAAAATTTAACAAACCTTTGAAAATTTTTCAAACCACTGATCTACACTCTATTGTCAAAGTAATAAAAGATTTTTCAGATATCTTTAATACAAAGACTTAAATTTTAAAAATTAATGTTTCTATGAATTAATTTTTTGAAGTCGTTTATTTGGATAGAAGGTAAGGTCCGAAACGAAATAAAGACTAAACGGTTTATGCTCACCAAAAATGATGCAATAGCATTTTTCTTCAATATTTGTCAATATTTAAGGGGAGAGTAGTGTCAAGTCGATTGGAGCAAAATTTACGAAGTTACGATTATTTTTATAACTGTCTTGTGAATTTTTTACATCAAATTTCCAAACTTACGATGTAACGCTTGAGAGTTTTTGTTTTTAATGATACTAACTTAGTTAATATTTTTCATTTTACAATAAGAAAATAACCTATTTATCGCAAAAAATCGCTTTTTTTCCTTTAAAGTGAAGAGTTAAGTTAAAAAGAAAAATTTCTTATATAATTTTTTATAAAATGGTTTTCTTCGTATTAATATAATTATACAAAACAAAATAAAAAAATTTATTAAAATTAAATTATTTAACATATTAAGTCAGCAATTATTTTTCAAGGCAATTTTTAAAATTCTGGTAAAAAGTTAACGCAAAACGGACCTAAAACCAGTAAAGAAATGCTGAGTTTTGAAAGCCGAATGAACAAGTTCATTGTATACAAAGAAAGTGCCAGCATTTTGTCTAGCAAGAAGCGCCGCTAACCTTAGATAGAAGAGAAGTAAGAAAATGCAAAGAGGTACCGGCGCAATTATATGAATATATTACAAGTTGATGTGTTAGTGTGTGTAATATACATATGTTTGTATGGATGTATATAAGTACATAATATCGATTTCAACGTTCAAAGAGTAAAGGTTCGTTATCTCAATCGTAATTAATAATTTATACAGGTCGGTTAATTCTTGATAATTTGCTTTTTTTCAATGAAAACACGGAAAAAAGTTAAAAAAAAAACCCAAATTCGATTTTTTCCGAAGCATATAAATTCAAGCAGATTTGTATAAGTTTTGAGGTGGTATATTTCGGAACAAAATCTGACAGTTGCCATCACGCACAACAACAAAACGTAAAAATAACAGTTGCTGGCCTGTCAAAAAGACAGTCCAATAGACTGACTGGTTGAACTTAGTATCATACTAGTTGAGAAGCAGTTTAGAACTACTTTATTTTACTCTTTGTATATAGATATTTATTTTTGGTTGCTCTCTGATCGATAAACCTCAAAATTATAAAAAAATTTTAATGATAAGATAATGAAATGCGTGGTATATATTGTTAATACAAGGTCCGACATTCTTTAATCAAAAAACTAACGACTGCGTAGAATAATTATGAAAAAACATATTGTAATAACAAATAAATTATGCACTAAAATTTCATCAATTTTATATTTAGTTTTGTACCTTGAACGGCGTATATTAAGTTTGCCACGAAGTTTGTAATACCCAGAAGGAAACGTTCCAGACCCTATAAACTATATATACAAGTAAATGATCGGCGTGACTAGCTGAGTCGATGTCCGGCTGAGTATACGCGAACTAGGCCCTCAGTTTTTGAGATACCGATCTGAATTGGACCGCTATAGCATACAAACTGTTTCATAAAAATCAAACCCTCGTACAGAAAACTTTTTTTAAACAAGATATCTTCTCGAAATTAAATATAATATATGAAGGTTATTGCTCTTTCTGGCAACTCTAAAATCTCCGAACATATTGTTCAGATCGCACCACTATAGCATGTAGCTGCCATACAAACTGATCGATCAAGACCTAGCCCTTTTATGGAAAATTCTTTTATTTGACGAGATATCTTTACGAAATTTGGCATTGATCATTATCCAAGGCAACGCTATAATTTCCAATCAAAATTAACTTCTTGTATAAATTTGTTTTATTTGTGAAGGGTGTTATATGTAGCTTAGCTATTAATAAGTATGTAAAAAATCCGCATTAGTGAAATCATCTTGGAGTAAGTTTTATTCTCAACATAACCTCAATTCGCTGATGTAGACATTCAACTACATTTCATTTCAAAAATTAACTTGTCAAAATTTATTTTAAAAATTAAATACACATGTAAAGAGCTAAACAAAACTAATTTAAAAACCCAAGTTTTTGCCAATAAAAAACAACCCGGCAAATTATGCAATCAGTTGTAAACACATGCTTACAAACATACAAATGAACATTCATATAGATAAATAGTTCACAGCTACACCACTAACATTGCAGGTCATATTTGATACTGATATGTACAAACTTACATACATATTTACGTATTTACATAACAACATAAAGAATACTGCATTGTTTCGGCAGTTCAGGTTAAAGCGGTGGAGCACACTGTGGTTATGTGATATCACAAGCTTAAGTTCTGGCAGAATACAATGTACCGAATCGTCATACATACATACATACTTACATATTTATGTTTGCACATGTGCACACCCATGTCAGTTAGTCACTTAGTGACATGGAAATTTTTTATTTTTTGTAAACATTTAATGATGGTGTTTTATTTTGCACAATGCAGTTTAATATCTGGTGTGTGTCCTGCATTCGTAAGCAGTTTCGAGAACAATAAAAGCTATGCATACAGACATGACAGCGAACAATTTACGTGCCTGCATACTTCGACATCGTTAATCCACGTAAAAATCTGCTAAATGTATTCACAGTATGTAAAAACATTTATATTTACAGTATAAATAATCAGGACACATTAGTTTATTTTTAATGGAAAAAGTAGGCATGTGTCAAGTTTGTGCTGAACTGAAAATGAAATAAAAAAGTTCTAGGAATGTTTTTTTTACCGTTATACAAAGGAATATTATCCATCAGAGAGACGAATATCAATTTAAATAGAGTATGAAAATCATATAATAGATTTTGGTTGTTGTTGTTGTTGTAGCGGCAGAAAACCTTCCTGTAGTAATTTCAAGGAATGGTGCCGAGTTGATAGGATTGGTCGTGGGAACGTTTTTGGCCCAAAACTTCGACTGATTACCTTATATACCAGGTTTTACTTAGGTATATTTACATACATATGTACTTTTTTATGACAGTTGCAATCCAAAAAAAAATTATATTTAGTTTCAATTTGCTCAGTAAAAGTTTGATTTTGAAAAATATTCTTCTCGCTTTGTAAAAGTTGCAAATTGATCTTAATACAACCATATTTCTGCCACTAAAAAGTACATGGATTAATTAATGAAATCGTAATTTACTACATCTAGACATACAAATATTTGTAAAGTGTTTATTATTTTGTAACCTTTAAGGTAAAATTTAAATTTAGACTCAAAATGTTCCATTTACGTGCTCAGAACTGCATAAATTATACGCACATGTGTATAACAAACACAGACTTACATACAGACACACACATCTTTTGGAATTCATTAGCACTTTGATAATTGCCAACAAAGAGAACTTTGCTGTAAAACTTGTTTTATCGCGGTTTAATACATCTACATATAAATATTAAATACAAGAAGTGCATATGTGTATGAATGTGTATAATCCTAAATATGATGCGATATAGTTATATAAGTAGCTTCATTCACCTTGATAGCTTTTAGGTGCTTTGGACATCAACGTGTCCACCTCCAGTGAACAGTAGGTATCCACCATATGTTTTGTTTCGATTTCGTTTAAAAAGAATATAAATTTTTTCCTGTTTAGTTGTTGCTTTATCTTTGTATTGTAGTGTGTTGGCAAGTAAATTAAAGTATTTTGGAACTTCAAGAAAAGTCGATATGTTAAATACTACACCGAATTTAGAGGTATGAAGTTTTGTACTTTTGTGCCGATATCTCTTAATTTATTGCTGTAAAAATATGCACTTTCTCAATTGATGCGGTATAAACGCATTTCACTTTAACACTCAATTATATTGCCAATTTTTTCACTGAGTAAAAAAGTTCCAATTCAAATTACTCTTTATTAACACTTCAGGTACTTTGAATAGTATAAACAAACAGTTATGTATATGAAAACATAAATATAATTTGTTTCAGCTGCCCCTTGTTTTATTAAAACGCTTACAACAATAAGAAGAGCAATAATTTATAAAATTAATATACCAACGGAAATCACAAACACAATTCGATTTCACTGCCGAGAAAATACTAAACAAAAACAATGTTCAAGAAAATGAAATTATAATTGACTACACGAAGTGTTGCCAACTATTGTACATGTGATTGAGGCAATTTTATGAGTTCAACCAATCGCCATATTTTTTTCCAACAATTCTACTTTTTTATTTAATAAAATTAGAGAGAGTTTTTGTATACCATCTATAGTGGTAATATTTTATATAATAATTTCTAAATTCAGAGCCTACTCTTCTTTAAAAATGTTAAAATCCGTTTGTTGAAGTAATGTTAAAGCAAATTTGCTTAATTTAAGTATGCATATTTCTTGTTTGCTATAAATATTTACAACATAGCAATTAATGCAGTGGCAACATGTACACAAAATCGAACAGAGCTACAAACTGACAGCTATTTGTGCCAGAACAAAAACACATCGCTTTTTGTGCACGCCGCAGAAAAATTTTCAATTACATTTGTGTTTTTATTATTATTAAATTTACTATTCATTTTTAACTCAACATGGAGGATGGAGATTACGATAATGATGAGTAAGTATAAAACCTTCACAAAAATACCTTAATTTTAGAGACATCCAAATGGAGCCACGTTTCGGTCAAGCACTTGTAGAACTTTACAGAATTTTAATAAGATTTTTTTTTTAGTGTCGGTGGTGATGAGTTCGATGATGTTGACGAAGAGGACAACATTGATGATATTAATCAGGAAGAGGAGGCCGATAATATAGAAATTATAGCGCAAGGCAGTGGAGGAGGTGGCGTACCTAAATCAAAACGTATTACCACCAAATACATGACGAAATACGAACGCGCGCGTGTATTGGGTACGCGTGCGCTACAAATTGCTATGTGTGCACCTATAATGGTTGAATTGGAAGGTGAAACCGATCCACTACAGATTGCTATGAAAGAATTAAAGCAGAAAAAAATACCAATTATTATAAGACGTTTCCTACCAGATCACTCATATGAGGATTGGAGTATAGATGAATTAATTATAGTGGATCATTAAGTTGTAATTTTAAAGTGTAGATTTTATTAAAAAGAATTTTTTTGAAAATAATTATTTTTTTTTTTGTTGCCATATGATCTACGAGTATGTGTTGTAGTGAAACTGTTTTATTTGTATAGTTCTTGGAACAAATTCACACTTGTCAACTCCATGCGTAGCCGTATTCTTTATCGTAACAAACACGTTCTAAAAGTGTAACAGCATTTTGTCCGGTACGGCACATGCACTCCACAACACTTGGTATCAGACCACAGTCTGATAAGTTTTCTTGCCCAAAAACCTGCCCTGCCGCTTCATCATCGGTTGTTTTAGATTGTTCTTGTGTATCTGCTACAGCTACGGGCTTCTCCAGTAAACATTGTGTTGCTTTACTAAACGCCAGCGTATTATTGTTAGTGGCAAGCGTTGCGCTAAATGTATCTTTACTTTCGCCAAGTAAACTGCAGGCGTATGGCAGGAAGGATGGTAATACCACACCTTTCACTTCAATACTATTGTAGTCAACACCATCCATACGCACTTTACTGGATCGCGTTGCCAATTGTTGCATCGTAGCTTTTGGGAATGCCACTGGTGCTAATAGGGTGGGTGGAATGCCTGCGAGTTTACCCACATTAGAAATTGTACTTTTCGCATTAAGTAGAAAACTAAAAAATCCTTGACATTCTACACCTTCAATGAGCAATAGTGAGTTCTCGCTGAAATCATCGGACATTTCCTGCACGTTCAGCTTGCGCGCATGCTCGGTTTGAATTCTTCGTAAATCTTTATCGTTAACTTCTAAATTTTCCAAAAAATTATCAGTATCTTCCTCGTCTTCCTCAGCTAGCAATTCGTTGGAAGTGTCAGCGGGGCGGCCAATATTACCTGCCAGTAGGGTTCGTTTAATAAAAAAGAAAATAAATAAATATATTACTTTAAAACCTTCAATTGCTGCATCGGCGCTGTTACTCTCTTCTGTGAAGTTACCATCATCAGACTTATTTAAAGAGCTATCTTTTTTCAGTGGCATTGAGTATTCTATACCCTCTTGGCGTAAAGCGCTACGCACACCGCGTGTGCTAGGGGACATAAGAGCATGCGTTTCCACACAGCCACCAGTGCCAGCTGCACGGAAAAGCACTGTAAAAGTGTTTGCACACAGATAAAAATAAGGGCACTGTCGTGCGCGCAGAAGTTGAAATAATCCTCTAAAACTATAGTCCCAATCGTCTGCTAAAGATTTGCGTTCACGTTCGCCAAGCACTATACCGTTATTAGTTTTAGCATTACGAGGAAATAATGTCATCCAAGGGAGGTAAGGATGTTGCCAATAATAACTGGCCTGATTGAAACGCGTGGCAGGAGAAATATCTAAACCGCATTGCGCATTCTGTGAATCAATGCACCGCACGAAACTAGTCAAACCGCTAGCCAATTGACTTGTTTTTAGTGTAGTTGTTGGCAGTTCACTGCGACAAAATATGCGCACACGTGTTTTAATACTCCAATCCATTGGTAGATGCTTAGTAAACTTTTGTTCCTCTAAAACAGCTTCGTCATCTTCGTTCACCGCAGTGCCGTGAAGCATAGCAGCAAATGATTTCGGATCGAATGGTTGCAGTGTCAACTTGGCTGGTGGGGGACGTGTGGGTGTTTCGCGCACAAATGAATCTTTCTGTGGCGGCGGTGTGTTGACAAAAGCAAGGAGCGTGTCATCTTCAATGAGCGGCGTGTCGTCGGTTCGTGTACGCTTCGTCTCAGATTTTCTAAATATACATGCCCAAATGAAAATAATATTTATAATAAGGTGAATTATACTCTTACATTGCAAAAGGATTCTTTCGCTTTTGCGCTATTTTTGCCTCCAACAAGCGCTCTTTATCGAGACCGCATTTCTCTGCACTTGGCAAATTTCTGTTTTGATTTATACGTGCAGCCAGCTGCTTTTTCTTTTGCTTCAATCGATGCAATTTTATGAGCTAAAAACGGAATGAAGTCAACAAACATGCATTATTTCGGAAAATCATAAAAATGCATCTCCCTACCTCATCTGGATGCTTCCAGTTTTGTTGATTGCACGGTTTTGTTGTTGACATTTTGTTAAATAATTACGATTAATATGTATACAATAAACATTAATTATAAATACTATAGCTCGCGTTCTAATTTGAGAATTTCTTAAAACGACGCGCGCGTAATTTTACACAAACTTGATTTTCTATTGTTTTTCTAGCTGATTGCTATCAGCTGTTTGTATCAGTAAGCGTTGCCAATAGATGGAAATTAGAATTTATAGGAAGCAACAATTGATATGTGCTTAGTATATTTTTAGTGATTTATTGGTTTTACAGTGGAATTTTTCAATAAAGACCACATTTTATACACAAAAAGGCCATCTTGAGTTTTAAAGAAGAAATATTTGATATAGAGCTTGTTGTTTCAGCCCAAACCGTTAGAGCTTGACTATCTACAGTTTAAGGAAAGACGTTACTTAAATCAGTTTTTTTTCGATTTCTGCTAAGAATAATATAAAAAGATATACCTACAGCATTAAAGTTAGTTATATTCTCTGCTTACACTAATTTGCAATATCTCATAATTAACTATTTATTCTAGCATTTACCTATTATATTATTACCTCTGCGCACAGATATACGAACAGTTAGTGACGTAATGAAATAAATTCCTTTAGTATATATTCTACATATACTTGTATATATATATTTATATCTATTGACAACAAAAACAACTGCACCGCACAGCGTTTGCCATTATAGCAACAGCAAACGCCAATACACATATGTACCTATGCAATCTATGCACAGGCAACAACCATTGCTGTTCAAAATAAATGGGGAGATTAGCATAAATTCGGGCGACATGGAATTTGTTTTATAGCTCACGCGCGACGCTGCAATGCTATATAGTGATATTGTTCTTTTTGAGACCCGACCGAGTTTCTAAGTCTATAGTTTTGTTTTTAATCTACAAAACGAGGCTTCCAAAGTTTATTTTATACGTCTCTGAAGGGCTGACAGTTAGTGAGTGGTAGTGTCTTCCTGACGGAGGTGCATGCGGAGGGTCACAAGCCAAGAATTTCCATGAGGGGTTATATGTATGTACTTGCAAGTAATAAAAACTAGTGTCTTTTTTTTTTTTTTGAAGACAAATTTTATTTAATAAATAAATAAAAATACAGAATTTCATGTACTTTAATAATCGATGAAAATTTTGGATTCCCTTAATCCAGCAGCCGATTTTCAAATTGAATTTTGACAAAATGGCGACTCTTCAAAAAGTCGTGTTTTGTGTAAAAATTTACACTTCAGAGTGGCTTCAAAATCGAAATTGTTATCAAAAATCGAATTCGTTTATCATTATCTGACAAAATATATCTTAGAATGTCGGGTGAAATTTTCAAGTTGATCAGTTCAGCCGTTTCGGAGAAATTTTTTCACCGACTCTGAAAAGATCGTTTCGAGAAAAACACGTTTAAAGTTTTGAGCGCCGACTGCAGTATGTTAAAATATTACACGCTCATATTTTCGAAACTATTTGCGGATAAAATGTTCGAAGAACATTTACAAATATATGTACAAACCCTGTATATACAATATTAGCACAAAAAATTTTTTTTGTTTAATTCACAAATGGTTATGAGACCTTTTATAAAAGCTTCTAAATTTTTGTGAGAAATAAAGTTTTTAAGTTAGATATGTATATACAAATTTGATCAAAATTTTATTCAATTAGTATTAACTTATTTTTTACAGAGAAGTTTCAAGGAAAGTCATTGATTTATATACAATTTTAATCACTACTGCTGACAATACGGGGTCAGAAACCATCAATAAAAGAAATAAAATTACCTTTTTTTATTGTTTTATTTTATTTTTTGTAAAATGACGGAAAATAGGAAATACAATTAAAAACCCGTTATTCTTGAAAATAATACTGCCCAGTGAGCTGTGCGCCGGGTATAAAACAACCACGAGCTTTGCCGAGTTGTGCAGCGCTGCCACCGTGGAAAATCGATAAATTGTCGAACGTCACTACATAGTATATGTAGATACTTAAAGTAAATGAGTGATTTAAAACGGAAAAACACGCAGTGGCCTAGCATTAACAATATGGCTGCTCAACGTAACGGTAAGATTGATATTAATATGCAGTCATTGGAGATAAATATTTTTAAACTTAAATTGTGACAATTTGTAACACCAAAATTGTTGTCTACTTTTAGGCGCCGTTTGTTTTGTGCTCTACGCCACACTCTTGTTTGGCAGTCAACAAAATGTCGCCGCTTTCAACTCCATGCCCAAGGAGAATATTTTCGCCGATGTGCTGCTCACCGAGCTGCTAAATCGCATGGACAAAGAAATCGATCCGATGCAAAATTATTTCGATTTGCTTGGTGATGTGCCGAAAAGTGTTGATCTGGTGTCGCGCTCTTCGAAGAACAACCACAATGGGCCGGATGAGTACGAGTACCGTGGCATGTACGGTTCGCATCCATCCATACGCGACCAAGAGTACATGCAGCATAGTTCCTTATGGGGACATCAGTACATAAATGGCGGTATGGGTGAGATGCCCAATCGTTTCCCAGCCATCAAGACTGATGCTACATTGCCGGCCTACTGCAATCCACCGAATCCCTGTCCCTATGGCTATGAGGAGAGTCAAGGTTGCATATCGGATTTTGAGAATACCGCTATTTTCAGTCGCGAATTTCAAGCAGCACAGGACTGCACCTGCGACAACGAGCATATGTTCGATTGCGCTGGTCAAGACAGCAATGCCAGCGCCAATGAAATGACCTCGACCATGGAGAAGTTCTTGATGCATCAATTTCAGAATGAAAACGGTTTGGACAATCCAAATGCCGTGGTAAAGAAATTTTATGGCTTTGCAACAGGTCATGGCGGTCCCAATAATCCCTTCTTGCAGGGTGAGAAGCTGCCCATAGCCGCCAAAAAGGGTGATCATATCAGCGCTTAAGCGGGTCACATGTTATTGGTGTAATTGTTAATAGATGTTGTCATTAGTTGCAAATACTTAACCAAGCACACATTTAAATATGGTATATATGTACGTATGTATGTAAAGGAATATATTTGTGTTGTCAGAAAATATCATGCTATACATACAAAATTTACTATGACGAGTGGCTATGTCATTTTTGAAGCATCTAAATGTTGAAAACCTGAATTATAAAAATATGCGAATATGAAAAGTTCGCATCGCTGCCCTCAAGTTAAAATATTTAATCTTTAGTTGCTAGAAAATGATTTCCGACTTTGTTTAAATGTCAAATTGTTTACATGTGGCGGGCATATTAAGGCATATAAAAGACACAACTGTAATAATCAAGCTCTCTTATTTGCTGAGCATTACTTTAGTCTAATTGTTAAAACAAAATTTGTATCAACTGTAACTAAAATTCTTATCGGTATTATAAATATATATGTAAACATCCAATATATGTATCAGTAAATAAAATAATACAAAAAAAAAAAGATTAATAAAAATTGCCGAAGCTTTTTTCTTTAAGGGGGTATTCTAGTCTAGAATCATGAATTTTAATTAATTTTTGAAGTGTCGTAAAATAAAGGCAATCAATGTTTTTTGCTCAACTTTTTTTATAATTATTTATTAACATTATAAAAATACAAGAAAAATTCAAAAATTAAAAAAAAAAGTTAAACATATCAAAAATTAGCAGCTGATAGTAGGGTATCTCGAAAAATTGGCACCACGATTTCAACCCTGCCAGCAATCTGAAAAAAAAAATTTATCTAGAATAATGTCGCAATGAAAAAAAAAACATTTTTTAAATCACATTTTTTTACTGTTTCAAATTTAAAAAAAATAGTAAAAATTGAAATTTGGGGATATGGATAGTTCTAGACATAGATAAGTCTCTAAAGCTTTCAGGTAAATCGGTGGAGTAGAACCTGCAAAATCGTGCGTATCCTTTTGAAAAAGACGGTTTCGAGGAAAACGCTTTTAAAGCTTCACGAACTGGCGGAAACGATTTGGATGCCGGGTCAGCAAAATACTTATATCTCCGCAATACATTAGAAATCCTCTTACCTCCTCTAATCCTCTAGACATGTTCTTGAATGGTTAAACTTTGAATAAAAAAATCGATTTTTTTCTACACTAGAATACTGGTTTAATAAAGTACATAAAATTAGAAGAAGAATGTTTACGTTGTAAAGGCAGTGCTGTCTTCCAAGTAGTTCCATTAACTTCAGACTTGTTTTGTCTGCGTTTCTCAAATTTTTATTCTAGCTTCCATTCTTCACAGTTGAAAATACTTCAAAAATGAATAATATGTGTCAAGTGTCAAGGACCCCCGCCACCTCCACTAATAATATTATACTAAAAAAATCAATTTCAATTTTTTTTAATTGTTTGATAATGTTTTATTCTAATTTCATATAAATTACAAATCTTTTAGAGTATCATATGATAATGAATTTCATATACAAATAGCTAAGCACATACAAAAAATACATATGTATATGCTAGAAAAATATTACAACTGAATGTAAATTTGTTTCGCATAACTTAAGTAATTTCAAACTAAATGATAAAATGAGTATTATCCATGATTCACACACTGGTACAGGTATTGCTGTCCTTTGACCTCGACATACATATAAAACTTTGTACATACAAGGTATATACCGTTAAATGTAGCCAAAGGCAATAACAACAATGTTTAACACATAAAGAAAATTTCAAAAAATTAATAAAAAAAAAATAAAAATTTCAAACGTATTTATATAATATTTCAAATGAAAGAAAAAAATTAACAACCTTCAAAAAAAATGATAAGGCAATAATATAAATTAAAAATTAAAAAAAAAATTTTAAGTTCTAAATTATATTAAACAAGAAAAAATGTTAACTTCGGTTGCACCGAAGCTATAATACCCTTCACAAATACAAAGGTTCCTTACAAGAACCTGATTCCGATCGTTCAATTTGTATGGCAGCTATATGCTATAGTGGTCCAATAACGGCCGTTCTGACAAATGAGCAGCTTCTTAGTGAGGAAAGAACAGGTGCTTAAAAACTGTGAGACTAGTTTGTATATATACAGACGGACAGACAGGCGGATATGGCTAAATCAATTCAGCTCATCATGCTGATCATATATGTATATATTTAGTAGGGTTTCCTTCTGGGTGTTAGAAACTTCGTGGCAAACTTAATATACAATGTTCAGGGTATACAAATTAAAATTAATTTAATTTAAAAAAATAACAAGCTTCAAAAAAAAACTTAAATTAAATGTAGATTAAAAACATTTCAAAAAAATAAATGAAAACTACATATTAATAAATTAAAAAATTTTAATTTAGAAATTAACAGAAAAAAAATTAAAATATATGCTATACTAATTTATTCGTTAAACTTCTATATACTTCTAAATTACATAACGGTTGGTGTACTAACTGTTTGGCAGACAGTATGCACCAACTATTCACTAAGTAAATTGACCGAAATATTTGATTTATATTGATCAACAAGTCTCTCGCATGGTCGGGCAGTGTGATTAGCTAAAAAAATATTCGTTGTCATATTTACAAAACACTAAAGTGTCTATATTATTATATAATTAGTTAAAACTGATTTTATATACCTGCATATATATTAGGATTTACGTTATTTCTTAAGTTGACTGTTGTTTTGAAGTTTCCGGTTTTGCCCCAAAAATAAGGATCAAACGAAAAAAAACACTTTATTTTTAATTTAATCCGTGCCTAAATCACATTTCTTTTCCTATATTCCTATGACATGTATATAACATGTAATTTTTTGATATTTTGCGTTAAGTAAGTAAGTCTACAACTTTGAAAAAGTTATATTCTAATACGAAATCTCCCACTTTATAAAAAAGATTTAATTGATTCTTTCCATAAAAACATTCTTTTCTAAGTTATACGCAGTTAAAGTTATACGTCAAATGTACTTACTTGTAGTATTAATACAAGTGGCTTTTAACTGTTGTGTTGCTCATACGACATGGGGTACGTATGAACACAGTACATTTGAGGCATAACTTGAACTAAGTATAACTTTTAAAGAAAAGTTTTTATGAAAAAGATTATGAGAATTTTTTTGTAGAGTGGATTTTGTATTATAATATCATTATTTTAAAGTTTTAGTTTTATTGCTCTGGATATAAAAAATTTATTGCAAAATATGAGAGAAGTAAAATGATTTGGCACGATTTAAATTAAAAATAAAGAGCTTGTTTATCTTGGATTCTTTTTTTAGGGCAAAAACTGAAGGTTGAGGGGCCGTTTGTAAAAAAACACTAGTTAGAAAATAACGGACACCCTAATATATATAACATATACTTGTATGTATGTATAATAATCATTATTTTAGCTTAAGAAACTAGTTTAAAGTTGGAAGCAGTTGCTAAATATAAAAAAAAATGTATTTATAGTTGTGGCAGTTGTGGTTATGAACTTTAAAAAATCTGCAGAAGAATACGAGTACCAACAGTGCCTTCTCGATTATCGTGACTTTATGCTTTATGAGCTTTTTAGGCGTCTTAAAGTGCTTTAAGTTAATTTTGAGGGTCGGCAATGTAGAGACGACTGCTGAAGAAACCTAATTTAACAGGAAGTGTAACTTTGTTCAACCATAATCGAACTTGTAACGAATCAGTATCGTACGAGTTTACTATAAGAAGTCGTTCGCTGGTTTTGAAAATTGAATGAAGCAAAATCTTTTCTGCTAATTTTTAAAATAGTATTACCGTTACTGGTTGTGTAGTGTGGGTTACTTTAGACTTTTCAGAAAATGAGCTGCTCTCATATGCATTTATAATTGTTATTACTTGTGACTTTGTGTGCTTTTCATATTAATTTCGCTTTTAACAAAAAAAAAAAAAAAACCGTGCATCAAATTTAATTAAATAGTAAAAAAATATTTTTCAAGGTATAATTCAGCACACACATTTTTTTAAAGCTTTAAGAAAGTAAAAAGTTAAGCCCACCTTTTTACTTTTTAATAGTCGCGTTTAACGGGAAAGCACTGTTATACAATTTGTGACAGTGTTTGTAGCTTAATTAATTTATATATGTAGTGGTTTTTGTAGTTGTTAATATATAGCATTTCGAGACAAAACTACGGTCATATTCCAGTACAAAAGACATGAACATATCAACGCTTCGTCGTTTTTTTTATAGGACGACAGCGTGCTTACAATTCTAATACTATTAACTAAAAAAGTCCTTAGTTTTTTTTCTTCAAATCATCAACAACAATAAAATTGATATCAGGCTGGCAAGTGGATTTGAGTGACGCCTTCTACAAACGTCCTGTATTGCTGCTATTCTGTCCCCATGACACTTGTTGATTGGGATTACGCGCAGTCAGTCGCAGCGAATTGCGGTCGTCATCTTCGAGTACATGTTCGTAGCCTTGATTAATGGTGCCGCCACCGTTTGAACCGTAGATTTGCTGTGTGTTTATAAAAAAAATAATTGATTTGAGATTGAAAAAGCGCAAATATAAATCTGTGGGTTGTTATGTAGTTTACCTCGCTTGGTCCGCCGTTGGCGTTAAATACATCCTTGATGCTAATGCCCGCATTTGAGATACGTCCACTGCGCTGATTGGGTATTACGCCGTTGTTGTTCAGCTGAAATGTTGAGAGCTCGCACAATTAATTGGTACTTCATAAAAGACTTAAGAATTTTTCTTAATTCACAGAAAGTAGCTTTGGCGAATGACAACTGAGGAACTAATAAACCACTTATACGTTTCCCTACTACCCTAAGTAGTGACTTTGAAAACAACTAGTATTTAATTAGTAATAGCTTAGAATAACCTAATTAAGGTTCACGACTATTAAATATTATAGTTTATTACTCGCAAAATAAATGATTAGATATTGTGGTAGACGAGACTACAATATATCGAGACTTAGCTGCAACAAACAAAGTATATGGCCTTTGTATAAGATTTTCTAAAAATGCCCTTAAATAATAACCATATATTGTATATAAGAACTGCTTTTTACGGCCAAGAGGTCGTCAAATGTTGTTATTGTGGTATCGAAAAACATTCCCCAAATAATTTTTTCATTTTGTTTCGATTAGTTGAACCAAACATTTATGGTTTTATACTGTCCGATCCTTAGCTGAGTCATTTGGATTGAAATTGGTTACTAATGTCCAGTTATTGACGTGCAGTATTGATGAGTTTACCAAATGAGGCAATCTTAAACTGCTTGTAAAAGTATTTTGAAGTTTTTCTGACTGTGCATATTATTAACCTTATCGATGCATTATTTGTTTTTACTCGTTTCCGCCCAAATACTCTTGAGTTCTCTGGCAGAGAGATATTTTTACAATCTCCTTCAGTATAAATTGGAATCCATTAGCCATAGGTCATACGGATTCCATAAGTTCATGCATTATATGGAACAAGAGTAATACGACATATATTTTAGACTCTGGACAATTATGTGACACTTTAAGGCAAGATTCTGAAGATAATATTGAGCATAATGTCGGCTTGAATAAGGAAAATCATTATATTTAGTACATATATGTGGGCTGGGGTAGTTCGTGTACCAATTCCATACATATTCGTTTAAGACTAACGTATATTTCCTAAGATATCTTACATATTGACCGATATATACGGTAGACAGATAAACAGAAGTTTGAAATTCTTACATTAGGTGTGTGGAAGCTAGGGATGGTACTTCACTCGGTTTTATCCAGCTTAAAAAAAAGATACACTGTTACTACAAAAACTGTCGACTCTACCGATGTCGACCAAATTTGGTATGTAATATTACATTCACATTCCTATGTTTCAATGCGAAAATGGGCGGCATCGGACTACAACCACGCCTACTTCCCATGTAACACAATTTGAAATTCCATCTGGTTCTTTCACTTTCGATTATGCAAATCAAGCATCAATGAATGTATTGGGATAAAACTTATCACGAATAGTGGTTTTGAGTTGCGCCACCTTATGACCAAAAATTGTCTGAATCGTACTAAAGCTATTCAAGCCGCCAGATACCGAATATGTGGACCTCAGTTCCTACATTTAACATTTTATCGAAAATATCGGTCAATACGAGTATGCGACATAGATTATAGAAATTCAAAGATAGTTCTTTTCTGATATTAATAAGTTATATGTCAAAAATGGGTTGTATCGGGTCAATAATTCCTTTAGCTTTAGATTTTCGAACTATCGGCTGACATATATCGGCGCATATATCGGCAAATAAATAACCTTAACAAAATTGGCTGAACGTATAATATTGGATATACTATAGTTTAATGTCGAAAATATGTGAAATTGGCCACAAATTACCCAAACTACCATTGATGTACCACATATATATATTGATTTTCGTTGTTCTAACAAACCTTATGCACCTGAAGGTATTTCCCAGGCTTTGATTCTGGCAACTTAGCCCTTCCTTACTATGTTATGATAAGTTCTTAAAAATGCTTACGATTGTCAGATCGAAAGTTGGGTTAAGTCATGTCAATGTTATTTATTTAGTATATTAAACTTAAAGGAGTTAATTGTCTCAGAGTTGATATGCAAGGACTAAATTGTATTTTGTGACCTACCGCTGCTGTCGTTGTTATGCCATACTCGTTCTTTGCGCCGAGTGTTTGCATAGCTGACTTACGTCGTTCCGCCATTACCGAGTTCTTACGCACTTCCAGCGCGCGTATCGTTTCTGCGCGCATTGTCAAGCGGCGCGTGAGTATTGGGGTTGCTGTTTGAAGTATGTGCCATTAGTTTCAATAAATATTTTTGTAAAACAATAAAAAATTTACCTGGATTATTTTCATCCGCTGTTAGTTTGAGGAAACGCTTCTTGAAAGCAACATCCAATGTGCCGATTTGGCGACGCGGTTGTCGTGCCTTCTCCAGATTTTGTATCGTACGACGACGTGCAATGCGATCGGGCCCACTGCCGGAGTCATTGTCGTAATCACCGTCTATGCCTTGAAGACGTTGCAAGTTCTTGACGATCTCCACTGCGTGCTGCATGTAAGCGGGAAACAGTTAAGAGAGTGTAAAGTGTGAGAATATAAATTTTAGGTGGTTTTTCTTTAGATGAATGTGTACCTTGTCTATTAAAGCATCCTGTGAAGTGTCCTCCGACTTCTTCTTGCAGAAATTCAACTCCGTGGAGGCGAGTATATGCGAAATGGTGCCGAAACGATGGAACAACATAGCGCTAAACTGTATGATCAGAATGAGCGCAAAGAAGAACACAAACACTAAGCCGATCGGTTCCAATTGTAGATATTCCTTAGAAATGTGTACCTAAAAGTTGAAAGTAGGTGGTAAAACAAAGAAATCGAGCTTAGTTGCACAGTCATACAAGAAAACCGTGGTAATTTGTAGGTTAGTTACACAAATTAAAATTAAAGTTGTACTATAAGAAAAAAAGTATAATACAATTATAAAAATTCTGCTATTAACCATTTTTATGTGCAATGTGTGTGATTTTGTTCATCATATGAGTCATTATATGATTGTTTGTTTGGGATGGGTTCGTAAATGTTCGTTTGAGCAATGCAAGGGTTAGCTGTTATGGACAGGTGTCTTGCATACTAAAAGGTGACCCATGTTTGGTAACGGTTTATGAAATGTATTTATGTATGTGTACGGGTACGAGTATTTATTTGTTGGCAAGTTCATGTCTTAAGTAGTAACGGTTACTGTTGTTTGTGAAGACTTTGTATAGACTGGACGTGGTTATAGTGGCATTGTTGGTGGTCGTGTTCACGGTAAAAGAGTAAAATGTTCAGTTTGTGGGAGTTATGCGAAATCCAACATTGTGCTGGCTTTGTCTAAACATTTATCCTTAAAAATTCGCTCGCAAATCGAGAACGGAATAGTTTTGCGTTATAGTTACGAAGATTTTTTTTTTTTGATTTTTTTGCTACACAAAACATAAATTTTATAAGGATACGAGTATTAAATACTACAAAAATTATAAGCTAATTTAATGAAAGCTTGCAGGTTTAATAAATAAGTGCAATTTAGAATAAGTGCTTTCTAGTTTTTTATTTCAAAGCAACTTAAAGTGCAAGTTTTTTTTTTTAATATTGTTAAGACAATTATTGATTTTATTCTATTTGAAATAAGACAATATAAAAGCTAGAGACTTTTAAGATCTGTAAACTGTAACTTCATGATTTACACACCAAGCAACTACAGTAGATTCTCTGTTTCTTAAAAATCGAGAAAAATTTTTTTGAATGGAAGTATAAATAATTTGAAGCTAAATATTGAAAATAGAGAAAGGGATAAGAATATATGGCAAGATATTCTGTGTCTTGATAGAGTAAATGCGTATATTTTATACCGAAAATTATACTCATGGACCTTTGATCTTTACGCAGCCATATGGCGTAGAAGAACCTCAAAAAATATAAATTGATGAACTTAGGCTATGAAAAAATCCCACACCCATCATATTCCCCAGATCTGACCCAGCGATTGTTCCTTTTTCCCTTAGTTTGCTAGGTTTGCTGATTAGGCTCACATAGAGCTTCAAAGCTACACATTATCGAACCTGTATCCAAATGACAGAGGACCGTTAAAACAAATGCATTGCTCTAGATGGAAGTTATGTCGTTCCTTCATTATTAGGTGCAAGATTTTGCAGCCCATTTGGTAGTGAGATTATTGCTTGCTGGCCGACTTCTTTGATTCATGGACACAATGTTTTTACTGAACTTTTTAATACGAGCAAGTGATAAACTGTGTATCTAAGACTGCAGAACGAAAGACATATTGAAACAAGATCAAGATTTCAAGTGCTTTTCTGCTAAATTTCTGAGATGGTGAGGAGTTTCAAATATTTTAATACTGTTAAAGGTCTAGAGAGGTTCAGTACACATAATATGTACCGCCAAAGAACTGATGTAGACCTTATCTCATAGCATAAATCTAGGGTTTCAGCCTTTCTCATTAAAGTTACTTAGCCATAGTTACTCAGAAAAGAAACGATGTTACTTTTTAATACTTAAGTTCATAGACAAAAATTACTTGGCAAATAATGTATTGTAAAGTAATGCATAAATCGGTAGGAATTGCTTCCTCGTTAAAGCCCATAAAGTATTGAGAAGAACTGCGGATCGGGAGACGAAGCAATATAGATGGATTAAGTTGAGGAGAGTTCAAGGCCACTGTTTAAAACTCAATTGGATAGTGCGGAGACTTACTAATCGTAAGTAGTAGTAAGTGTAGTATCTTTTAGATATCTATAGATCCAAACTGACCACAAGCGCTAAACGAAATGCTGGAAAAATTTTTGTATTGATAAGATAGAATATCTAATAGAACTATTCATACTACTAAAATCAGCATGACCGATTTCATTCAGCACTTACGAGTGATTTTCTGCGATGATATATAGAATATTTTCTGATTTACATACAAATATAATAAATACAAAGCAAGCACAAAGTGAATAACATCGTGAGCGTTTAAATAGGTGAAGTCTTGAGGCATATTTTTATATAAATTAAGTTAAAGCGTGCAACCATTCTCTAAGCAATCAAGTAATAAATAAATAACTTATGTGTTAACAATATTTTATTTGTATATGTACAAAATATATTATATAACCACACCCAAAATAATAAAAAAATTATATAATGTATATTATTTATACTTAGATTTTAGGTGATGGAAACATTAAAACAACACTGACAATAACGGAATTTCGACTATTTCACAGTATGAGTAGATTGTCAAGTGTATAACATATAATTAGATTTTACAACAGATCCAGAAACCGCTTTTCTATTTATAGCTTTGGAAATATGTCTTTTGGTTTGTGAGTCAATTTTGAACGCGAAAGGAAGTTTTTAAACATTGTTAAACACAAAAAAAAAAACTAAAAAGTGAAAAATAAAAATTTTAAAAATTAAAAAGGAATAGAGCAGTTACTATGAGGGAAAGGGGTGTATACAAGTTTTATTATTTTTAGTTCTGCTTTTATTAATTTTGCCCATATGTAGGAGATTTTTGTTATTCATAATTTTTACAATTTATTTAGGTTATAAACCATTTTTTATATACGAATAATTATGTATATAAAGAGTTAAAACGGAAAAATGTACAGCAAAACCATGACAACAGTTAGAAGAAAGTGTGTGTGAACAACAAAGAGTTTCATTGACTTTGAGAAATACAACAGATAAAAACCTCTGATGTCTCTTCAATATACGTTATATTTGTCTTGACGCCCAGTGGCCAGACAACGTGCAATTTATCCTTGTTCAGCTGAAGCAAGAACACAATCAAGACGAACAAGGCGTTGGCCATGAAAAATGCGAAGACGGACTTGTTCCTCAAATCAATGAGATCGGCTGCGATGCGTGCCTGTTTGTTGTTGTTGTATTTTGTTTTGATTTCAATTTAGTTTAATAATAACAATAATTTGTTTTAACATTCATCAGCGATATTTTTTTGTTTGTGACATTTGGTTTGTTTGGTTAAGAGATTAAGCCATTATTGCGTACGATTAAGTCAGTTTCGGTTTTTGTTTTGGTTTTGTTTCGTTGAACGCATCACCGCACAAAGCATTTGCACATTTTATGATTTATTTGAGTGTTTGTTTTTTTTATTTTTTATGAAATTTTTAATTTCCATTTTAAAAGATAGTTGATTTTTTAATGTTTAAATATAAGAAGAGGAGAAAAGAAAAAAGAAATATGTTAGTAAAATGTTCAATTGGGGACTTCTTTCACGATGACGTCAAACGTCGATTATTTTTATTTTGACCTTTTATGAAAATTTGTGTGTGCGTTACATTTCCCAGTGTCATTTGACGTCACGTGCATGAAATCCCCTTGCCGAAATTTACCTCTTGTGTGGATTCGTCGTAGGTTATGTTTGTGCGTACACCAAAAGGCCATTTCACGTGTATGTTGTCCTTGTTCAATTGCAACAAGAACACAATTAAAACGAATAGCGCATTACACATGAAAAAGGCAAACACGGAGGAATCGCGCAACTCTTTAAGATCTTTAGCAATTCTCGCCTAAAAAATTCATGCACATTAATAATTGAAATATGAGAATCATTAAAAACAATAGGGAAATGCGAAAATTGTTGTAGCTGAGCACATCCGCTAGCGTACAACGCTGGCGAAATAATTCACGAAAACTTTGGTGTACGATTTTTGTATTAATCCACCTTGTAAATGCATTTGCGTTCAGCGGAAGCGTGAACGCAAATAAAAAGAACCACAAAATTACCTGTTCCACCGGATCATTATCGATAGGGAATAGATATTTGTCGATCAGGTCTTTCCAGAATTGAATTTCCGTGCTTGAGAGGAAGTCAACCTCTCCCTTACGCAAATCTTGGTCCTCAATCCAGAATGGATTTGTCAGAAAATCCCGTTCTTGACGTGGTTCTGCCGAAGTGTCTGAATCTGATTCCTCCGAATCATCACCAGACTTTTCGGCAACCGAAGACAACAAATGATGATCTTTTGAGCCGCTAGATGTAGTACGTCTGCGTCCATGACGTGAATGACCATGTGGATCTAAAGTGTGCTCCAAAGCTTCCAACCTCGTCTTGATGGTGTTTAAAGATTCAGCAATTGCAGTGAGTTGTGCTTTATCTTCCGATGTTTTGCCATGCGTACAGAGTATACAGCGGAATAAACCAGCTAATGAGAATTCAATGGAACCCTCCTCATCTCCATTATCGCCGATGCCACTTTGCAAGAAACTCAGCATGCTTTTTTGCTTTACACGCTTGGTAGCTTCTTCGGCTGCTTTTTTTTCCGCTTCTATTTCCTTCTTCGTCTTTTTAGCGACCACTTCACGCGTGCCCCAAGAGACGACATTCAGATTGATGATCGAATACAGAATGAGCAAGAGGTACATAGATGGTATGGAAAGCAAATAGATGAGACCTGCAGAAATGCACCAAAACTCTTGCGGATGCAAACACGCCGCTATCCAAAATGAACCCGTCATAGCAATCAAGAATATAGCGGATGGTGAACCGATACCGTCCTCACCCAATTGCAAAGCCGTACCCACGATTACCGCCATCATGATGAGTGCATACGCCGTGGATAGCACCTGTGCTACAAATAGTTGAATATTCGATTTACAAGTGAAACAGACTAACATGAAGAGTAAAATCGGCACGATATTGTAGTGGAAGGAGGTCCAATTGTCTATGCGGAAAGCGGCTACGAAAGCACCCACCAACATAAGGAAAATCGTGCCAGGTCCAAGAATGGTGCCGCCAATTAACATCATTTGGTAGAAGATATAGAGCAGCGAAATGTTGTCGTTAATCTTTATAGTACGTTTGGCGTCACCCAGCAGATCCATAATGTTCGCAATGGTAGAAGGCACCCAACGGCGACGCTGATTGTAGAACTCATTGAAACCTTCGGGACAATGAGTGTACGCATCGGAGGCAGCTGAATATTCGACACGATAACCACGTTGTAGCAATAAAGTACAAAGCCAACGATCTTCACCCTGATCATATTGTACGTAGTGACGAGCTTGATCCGAACGTGTAGTATACTTTTTCATAACATTGTCGTCCATAAGCGCTTTGCCACGAAAAAGTGAGAAACAACCAGGACTACAAAGCACACAACCGATCATATGTTCGGTGGCCTTTTGCAGCCAATGACCAATAGCGTACTCGAAGAGTTGATACCATACCATAGGACCGGAACCCACAGGATGAATGCGTCCACATGCCGCGCCCAGGTTACGATTCTTCTTCATCAAATCGATCAGTAGCGTTACAGCGTTCGGTTTGAAATCAATATCGCCATCCAATGTTAACAGGTAAGTGTTTTGCGCAATCTCGTCTTTACGATCAGCTGATATTGGCAGCTCAATGAGACGATGACCGAGCAAATAATACATGTACATAACTTGTGACCAACGTTTACGATGACGTATACGATCCTTATCCTTGAGATGTGTAATGAACTTGGTCTTACCAGGCAGAGTCCACACTAGACGACCCCCATATGGGGTTGGATACTTTTTGGGTGGACGTAAGCGTATGGTGGTCTGATGAATTTCAGAAGCCGCATCATCCATAGTGGCTACAAGCAATTTAACGAAACGATTAACTTGAATGTCGTCATCGCTGTGGTCGGAAATTTCAAAAGCATCATCGAAGAAAGTATGTGCTGAAGCAAAGAGTGGTTAATTAGAAGTTAATAAAACGTTTTAAACTTTAGCTACTCACTCTCGAATTCATAGTAATCCGGATCGACTATGCGCAGATACTTCTGGGCGACACGTCGTGCACACTGGTCCTCGTCCATGCGCATAATACTCTTCAAGAACTCCATCATTTCGTCTTTAGTTTCATGCCACATGGTGGCACACGCATATATTCTGGTAATGTGATCTGAAGACTTAATGCTCGGCTTATTTTGTATAGCTGAACCATCGGTGTGTACAGATATGGTTTCGTAGTATTCGTCGCCTTTCTCCTTCTCGATTTCCGATAAATCCTTTAGAAGGATAATTACGAAAAATGTATTAGATGTTTTCTTTGACTGTATGCAACTACACTTACCTCGGTCTTCACGTCAGCTTGGTCATCCCTGCGTCGATTCATGGCCATAGACTGATCAATCAGTAGTGCCGAATACATTGGACGTACGAATAACTTTTCCGTTGTAGCCAAACGTTCACACTTTGGTGTCCAGATATGCAGTGAGATCCATGTTTGACTAAGCAGCCACAAAATCCACGCCCAAGCCATTTGTTGTGTCACGAAATCATTGAAACGGAAGTTGCGTGGACTTGTGAAGAACAGATAGTCCGGAATGGTGTCATGGAAAAAGCAAGGATCGTCTATGCGCAAGCCGCAGGCTGCGATTAACAGTGAAACCGTGATAGGTATGGTTAAACTAACCGGGAAGGCATAACTGAAGCCCTGTATCAGAATTTTACAAGCGAATTTTCCGAAGATGTAACAAAGGTAAGCGCCAAAAATTTGTATGAGTAGCACATAAATAACCATATTGTGTACGGCGTCAATCTCTATGCTATCTATATTGGCCGCATCCAGTGTGTCTGGCAAGTTGCCCGTCAAACTAGTAGCCAATTCGTCAATTGAAATCTTATGTGGTCCCAACGCGTCACCAAACATGCTGAATATGTTGCCAGGCTCGTCGCCTTGCGCCCAAAAGATCAGTAGCGCGAAACAGACAAACAACACAATCTTCCATAATGAAAGGAACATGTGACTGAAGTAACGAGTAGTGCGCATCTCATCCTTTACGCGTCCCATTGCGCGCACCAAGCCGATGGGCGATTGCAACGACACAAAGTTCTCCCACCAACCGCAAGAAATCATCACGCAGGCGATCGGTATTACCCACAATTCTGGACGGTTCTCTAGTAATGGCCATATAACGAAACCAGTTACTTGTGCCGCAATTGCAGCCATATCAATGAGTACCTTCACGGCGCGTTTACCCTCCTTCGCACAACGTGACAAAAGTCCCAGTATACCAGGTATAACGCACAAGCAATTCGTCAACATGGCACCCTGTATGGCATCAATTTGTGGCAGCACGACGAACATAAGTAAAGCAGTACCAAAACAACTCAGACTCTCCATCAGTGTAACGAAGAGAAAGTGTCCAGTCTTGGGCACACGAAATGTTTTGAAGAAACAAATACGCGACGAACGTATGAAGGCACCGATCTCGGGTATCGCATAGGCAATCAGTAACGCCCAAATCCATGCGATGCGCTCCTCCTCGGGCAATTTCACCACGAATGTTTTGTCACGACCCTTGAGCATGATTTACAAGTGCATATTTATTAATAATGCTAAAGTTTATTATGTAACATTTAACATACCAAATCTTTATTGCAGTATTCTATTTTCTTATCTTTACGTATTTGTGATGTCATAAATAATACACAGCCCTTCGCCAAAACCCCCCCTGTTAACACCAAGATGAATGTAAAAGCATACGCGAAGATCTTCAATATTTTAACTGTGAGTTCAAGGCATTCCTGATTGGCCGTCGAGCCTGTCTCGATCTTAATCGGTGGATCACGGAAGACATCCCAGCCTTTTGTTTCTTGTATTGTGCGTTGGCTGTAACGATGGTAAAAAATTTTGTTCTTAGAAGTTAATATTTAATGGCGTCTATCTGGTTCATTTTGTTCAATTATAGCTGGCCTGTGGGGGGTTAATTACTCATTCTAAAGTACGGCGCGAGTAATCAGTGCTTGAATGAAATAAGTTCCGGCATTGCAAATAGTTTTGCAGCACATACCTATATAAGGTATGTATTTAGGTTTGTGCCTTTGTAATAATTATAAAAGTAAAAGTGATTAATTATGACTGCAGAGCCGCACCTTTGTTGTAGGAACCAGCTTTAAGTGCTTGAACATAAATAAATAAAAGAGCCGTGTGAGGTCAGTCATTTCAAGTTTGCGCACAGTTATTTAATTGTAAAGTAGCATATTTCATACAGTTCCGTATGACTGGTTTCGGGCGTTTTTGCACTTGAGGAATTTTCATTTCATAACTAACATCAGCTTGCTTTCGTTCAAATTGAGTTTTACTACAATTCTCTATGAGATAAAAAGCAATGCAGGCATTAACTAAAATTAAAACCAGCTTCTACTGGGTGTATTGGAAGTGGACAATATTCCAAGTAGACTACCGCGAAGTTCTCAGAGAAGTGCGCAATATTATTAAGAGTAACTTTTTCTTAAAATAAAAAGGTTTGACATTGCCGACCTTCTATAAATTTAGACTTTTGTGCAGATATATTTTTACACTTTGATATTAAGCGTTTTAGTAAGAACAGTAAGTTTGTAATAGTTCCATTATTTCGTTTCCAGGATGATATTCTATGTACAATACCAGATTGACTATATCTGAGTTAATACTGAGAACTCTTCCCTCCGCCCTAATGTGCTACCTAGGTGATGACCGAATGGAACTTAGTTTCCATAAGGTTATGGATACATCCATATCAACAACATTTGTTTTTTTTCACTAACAATGGCGTATTTTATACCTTTTTGTAGGTTGGAACTTCGATAATAGTTTTGCCTGCTACATGTTTTGGCCACTAAAAATGCACGATTTAAAGGTAATTTGATGTGTTATTTCCGTCATATTTGACCAGGCCGCTTATTAACTGAGCCACTGTTTTGACTAACGGCTGGAAGATTGTGGAAATAGTTGCGACATGCATATTCATAGATATGAGTGTATGTAGGAAGACACATACACAAATATAATGTTATGTGTACGTCTTGTATTAGGGTGTGCCAAAAATAAAATGGGATTACAATTTCGATAATTTTTGAAATGAAAAAATAATTAGACATCAAATGGATTGCAATAATAACATATTTCTTGTAACAAGAAGGCAAACTTTGCCCAAGAAATGAGATGCCTTTATAAGAAAGAGAGCGTCTGAATCAGGATAATATATGTATGAATGCACGTCGTAAATTATGATAACTTTGTCAAGCTTAGATCATTGGAAACAACTGAATTGCTGCATCGCGGGTAACGCAAAATAACCTGCAGCCTTCACGGTCTTCGATGTCCTGGACTCCACCTTAGCTTTGGAATTGGATTATGGGTATGATTTGCTCTTAAGGAGCGTCCCGTTCCTTTAAAACCCTGGCAGGTCACAGAGTACGCCCCCCTGTCGTCATTAAGTTGGCGTGGTAGGTGACCGTTGATACGACTCTTTCTTTGCACTGGTCGGCTCTGAATATCACTACAAGTGATATAACTTCATAACACTCCATACTTGATCTATTTTTGTAAAATAAACTTCAAAATTAATATGAAATTAAGCAAGTTAAAGGTAAAGTGAGCGATAATTATCGAAATAATTTTTTGGTCCTAAATTTTTGTATTATATATTAATGTACATATGTACATACCATATATCACTTATCTACCTAACCTAGAAATTTCATTGTCATCACTATCTTATTTAACTGAAAAATCACCGTTAGGTCTACTTTTGTGTTAATTGTATTCATTATTAATTCAAAAATGTCTCTTAATTTCTCTGTTAAACTGGAAAATCAATTATATTTGAGTAAGATGCACTTTGAAGAAGATATTCCCCTTTATGGACGACAGTTTGACTGTAACATTTCAATAATTTTTATAGAAACTGTTTTTTGAAAATTTATGATTTTTTGAGTTGCGACTCTTTTGTAGTTAGTGTGCGATACAAACACATTTTAATTCTTTAACTTTTGGAGACATGTTGTTTTAATAATGGCCCCACCCTAATGCACATTACCAGATACATTCAAATATGCCGTTGTTCATTGTTCATTTCATAGCTGTCACATTATCAGTGCACTTACATGCTAATTTGCATAAATAACATTTTGCGCAAAGGCGACAACAACAACAAAGCAAACGCACAATTTGCCCCTTGGGTTGTCAAGGCGCCTGCGCCCGTCATGCAACAACACTTGTGGCACGTTGCAACTGCATTTGAACTCAAAATCTATTGTGTGTTGAAGTCGTAGGCCTTTTGCGCGTCGTTTGTTTTGTTGATGCTTGACATGAATACATTTAAGTTTAATACGTTTAACTGTTGTTGTATATACGTTTGTAAGTATTGCTTTACCTTCCACCATAAATATCTTGGGTTAATGGTGTGCTCTCGTCGTCTGTAAAGTTGTCATCGCTGTCGCCGGCATTGCCTGGCGGTGCCAGGGGCCGATGCCTTGCGGCAGACATCTCCCACGGTTTCACAAACTGGATGCGAAAATATTGTTACGCTTGTTGTTGCTGCTGTTGCCACAAATGTTTGTGGCTCTATTGTTATTTATAGTTTGTCTCAGCTATCAAAATGCTTTGAGCCTGAAGTTGTTGTTGTCTCGCTTGCTTTAAATCGAGTTGTTGAAGCTGAAAAGTGAAGAGAAATAATAAATTTTAGTAAAAGCTTTTAAGGAGACTGGTTTGTAATACGGAATATTTCCAAAATTTACTATATAATGTTTATATTTTATAATACTTAATGATCCCGTGAGCTTCGAAGTTGAATTATTATAGTCGGAAAGGATTAGTTTAGCCCTTTTTAAATCGTAATAAAAACGAGTACAAATTCGTTCGCTCTATTTTGCACCAAGTTTAGACAGATATTTTCATTGACGGTTTTTTTGGACCCATTACAGGGATAATTTATAAATTTCATTGATCTTTCCGAGTTCTTTAGATTTTTTTATCTACAAATGCGTGCATATATACCGCTTTGAGTCTTATAGGTTACTGAAGTACTATTAAAATTTGTTAGCGAATTTCTAAATGCGCCGATCCGTCTAAGACATGTGACGCTGTTGTCGGTAATGAAACATATCAATGCTGAACTCGTATCAAAAGATCAGGTTCGATGTTGAGTAGAGGTCGCAAAGACATGACAACGTAGCTGAGGAGCCGATATTCAGCATTACTGGTGAATAGACGTGGGTTTATGAATATGACGTAGAAACTGTCTAACAACCTGAAGGGCGCTCCGAAAATGAGCTGAAACCGAAAAAAAGAATAAAATTCGGTGAAGGCACTGAAGGCGATTTCAGCCGAGGCTTATAACAAGTGTATGGAAAAGTGAATTGATCTTTGCCTTGTATTTATTAGCCCCATTTGTATAAAAATACGTGAAAAGGTATTTTTTGTTAGTCCGGTTCAAATTTGATCAGATATATGGTATATGAATTGATCAATTATTCTTTAACGCTCTTGTCGCCTATGCGGCATCATTGTGTTACATTATGATTGAATTTAACTTTGTTTAATTAGGTGCTAAGAATATGTATGCAAACATACTCGTATAATACATACACATATCTATAATATATATGCGTAATATGAATGTATGTGTGTATGGTCCCATGCCTGTGATGCGATCTGATCTGCATAAGTGTACAAATTCATTAAGCAGCAACCATATCATGCAGCTTTGCAGCGATAAACGTTGGGTGACTCAATTTATCAAACTGTCTTGCAGCTGGACCATGAATTGCTACAGCACTGACCAACCTTGAATGCTTAAAATAAATATGTTGGGGTCATTGTTATTACGGAATCCTATGTAAAAGAGGAATAAGAGGAATGGAAGTTAAATTTGAGTAGCGACAATAAAATATTCGCTTAGTGAAATATGCAGCTAAGTTCTAATTTTTAAAGGGTGTCTAAATAAGCGTTGGTTGATATTGAAAAATATAGTTTATATTTATATGTATGTATGTATGCATTTGCATGACCTCATTAGCAATAGCTTCAAGCTTCTTATATATTAGTCTAGTATGGATGCCTGGTCACAGCGTTATCACTGGAAACTGCAAAACCGATGAGCTGGTTAGGGCAGGCACCTTTTCCTCAATTTCATCCGATTATAGTGGAGTCGGTCTTCCGATGTTTGCTTGCATTCTGGCGTTGGACCTTTGGACCTCTAGTGAGCTCAGCAAGCGCTGGTCAACAACCAAAACTTGTGCGACTGCGTACGAGATTGAAATAACTCAGTAGAAACACCTTTGCAAACTTAGCGAAATTGCTGGGATTAATATTATTATTAATAAATTTGTATTAAACACAAAACGATTCGTCGATCGATGCGGATCTGGTGATCTACATTTTAGAAGTTTATGGGTAACATCGATTTTGGCTCAACCCCACGATCTAATCTAACCTAACCTGTATACATTAAATATTAATTAAACAGCGATTAAGTATCAGCGGCACATACTACATCTGCTTTAAGCCAAATTCTGGCATAAAAAACATTTTTATTTGCTCATTCTCCTAACAACAAGTTTTAGTTGAAGTTTCGCTAAAATAATTATAATAATAATGACACAAATACTAAATACAGCACAGTTATGACTAGAAGCGATGTCTTCGAAATCCAGTTTGCGCTCACAAATATGCATTCCACTCGCAGCCATTGTGCTATGCGAGAATTCAGCGTCAGGCTTTTGTGTCTTTCAGGTTTCGACCAACTTTGGCTTATGTTTACTTAACTTTTTAAAGACAATTTGAGCTTGTATTAAAACGATAATTCATTGCAAGCTTTTAAAGCTAATTTTTTATGCTTTACAAATTAAAGCGTACAATTTTTTGGCTATTCAAAATGACCAGTGCGAAACTTCGAGGCGATTTATGAAGACTTAACAGCGCCGCAATCATAAAACTTTTATACTATTGCATTACTTTTTATTATCATATCGTAATCACTCGTACATTCTCTTCCAACATTTGTATACATAATTATCTATGTATATGTGCTTTTTCACAAGCCCACTGTGAATTTGCGAAATTTTGCGGCAATTAATAATCAATGGTCCGAAAACTTTTCGTGCTGATTCGCGCATTTTCGTAATTTCTCAATTGTTTAGGCAATCGACATATTTGTATGAAACTTAACGTGTCGATTGCTGCAAATTTCCGATTTGTTTGTTACGCTTGCGCAGTTTTAATTGCCCCAAAACCTATATTTCAACAACACATAATGCTAGTGGAGAAAATATTGTGTTAAAACATATGTGAAAATCCATATCTATGTATACTCAATTACACCAATTTAAAAGACTAATAGGTTATATTTTTATACCCTGAACAGGGTATTTTAAGTTTGGCATAAACTTTTTTAAACCCAAAAGGAAGCGACAGAGACCCTATAAACTATATATATTTGTAAATGGTCAGCGTGACGAGCTGAGTCGATGTCTGTCTGTTTATAAGCCAACTAGTCCCTCAGTTTTTGAGATACCACCAAGTTCGTGTGATATCATACCGTTTGACTTTTTCCTGTGAGGATATGTAAAGTCTTAATTTAATGCAGACACCCCCACTTCGATTAAGGAATTGGAGTTAAAAATCACGCGTGTCTTTCGCCAGTTACCAGTTGAAATGCTCATACGAGTCATCGAAAATTGCACTCAACGGATGCACCATTTAAAACATAGCCGCGGCCAACATGTGAAAGAGATAATCTTAAAAAATAAATGCCAAAGAATGTTCTTTCGAATGATAATAAATATTTCCCATTAAGTTTGAATAAATAGCAGACTAGATTTTCATTTTATTTCGATTAAAGTTCTCTTTTGTGAGCATTTTATATATAAATGAAAAATATTCTCTTTAGTTTCAAAGAGTTAAAAAACCCGAAGTTTTTTTGTTTTGAAGGTTCATCTTCCGATTAATTACAAAATATTCCGCTAGAAAAGAAAGTCATTTTAGAATCCGTTTTCAAATTATGGTTATGATTATGACCATAAGGTGAAGTTTTGGTTTATCAAGAGAGGTATAGAAATGTTTAGTGACTTCTACTGAAACCGTTATGAATACTTAACCCAAAGTAACACTAATTGCAATCCAGGTTTATAACTCAAAATATTATTAAAAATGTTACCTACATTTGAGCGCAATAATATAATACAGCAACCAAGAAGTAAGAAGTAATAACTTGTTTTTGAAATCTAAAAAAAGGCAATAGTAAATTCTCTTCTTCACTTCTCTCAACCTTATGCAAGCTCCAAACAGCAGCACAGAAAGTAGTCAATAAAGCATGAGGAGAGGCTTAAAACCCGAATTCGATCAAAATAAACAGTTATAGTAAAAGCGGTATATGGGAAACTAATTTTTGACAATTGAAAATACCAAATGGGAGAAATATATATGTAAATATATATATATAAAGATATTGATGTTCGATTTAATAAAATAAAATAAATTCACATAGATTTTTTTTGATTGAAAAATGTTTGTGAACAATTTGATGCATATTTACTGCATTCAATTACCCTTGGGTATTATAATTCCAATATAAAAAATATTTTCATTGTCTGCTGGTGCATTTAACTAATGAAATATATATTTTTAAATACACAACTTGTATACCTAGCCATTAAATATAGTTAATCAATATTGCAAAAGTGAAGGAGAGAATAAATTCTTAGCTCAAGGCCAGCTAGCTGCGCAATGGGCAAGCTACCATACAGAATGGCGGCGAACCTGTATTACAGTGGTCAAGTGGACTTGATTTGCCAGTTTGCACTCGTACACACTAAATGTGCATGTATATAAATTAACTTGACCATTTTATGCCATAAACGGCAATCAAGGCATTGTAACAATATGGGCACCAGCTGGGGGTAAGCTTTTCCAACTAGAATATAGTATATACGAGAGGTGTTAAACGTATTATTGTGTTGTAATTAATAATTACAATAAATGTTTACTTTACTTGGTGGTATCCATACGAAGGTTTACATAGTAATGATTGTTAATTATGAAGTCGAAAGTTGGAATTACTAACGTAACAATGTTGCTTAAGAGCAAACCAGGAAATTTTTCAAAAAATACCTTCTTGAAGAGTTTCTGACTATTTCACACGATCTTTCACCTTCATTATCATCTATTTAAAAGTGAGATGTCGTGATAATCAAACCTATATAATACGAACTGACCCTGGAAGAAAAAATAATTAAAATTAAGAAAAAATGTTGACTTAAGTTGCTCCGATGCTATACGATATTACCCTTCACAAATACAATACAAAATAATCCATACAAGAACTTGATTTTTATCGGTAAATTTGTCGGAATGTACAATAATCAATTTCAAATTTTGTGTCTCCTATCTCATCAATTACAAGGACTGGATTTTCATCTATCAGTTTGTATGGCAGCTGGATGCTATAATAGTCCGATCAGAACTTTTTGTTGTGAGATTTTACCGTTGCTTTAGGCAATAATCCATGCCAAATTTCGTGAAGATATCTCGTAAAATAAAAAGTTTTTCAGTCAAGGATTGGAATTTGATGGCAGCTACATGCTACAGTGGTCCGATAGCGGCGGTTCCGACAATGAAATTGGAGAGAAATTGACGTGTGCAGTGTTTCAGATCGA